TGGTCGTTGATTTTATTAAGTGATACCTGTTTTAGAGATGGCGGTGGTAAAAAAAATATTCAGTCGTAAAAAATTTTTTTAATAAAAAAAAAAAAAAAAAAAAAAAGGTCACGGTAGTTTTTTTTTACTTAAACGACTAAATTAATAATAATAATAAAAATAATAATAATAATAATAATAATGTTTGAAAAAGTTTTTTTTTTTTTTTTTTTAAATAAAAATTTTTAAAATTAAATCATACATAAAATTACAATTAATAATAATAATAATAATATTTTAAAAAGTTTTCGCAAGTGGGAAAAGAAAAAGAAAATTACGACGGAAAACTTTGAAAAACTTTTTCATTTCTCTCTCTCTCTCTCTCTCTCTCTCTCTCTCACTCACTTTTTCTTTTGCTTTGAAAGTTTTTTTTTTTTTTTTTTCTTTAATTTTCTCAAGTTGGCACTTTTTTTTTTTTGTTTTTCCAGGTACTCGGATTGGTTGGAAACGTTCTTATTGTTTTCACAACATCGAGATATAGGAAAATGAAAAGTACGACAAACGTTTTCCTTGCGAGCCTGGCATCGTCCGATCTTTTGCTCATTTTGTTTTGCATTCCCGTAAAGGTAAGAGAAAGAAAAAAATTTTCTCTGCATCCTTTTTTTTTTTTTTTGCAAACTTTTTCCAAACGTTCATAATCACGATTATGATAAAAATTGAAATAAATGGAAAAAGTAAAAAGTAAAAAAAAAAAAAAAAAAAAAAAAAATGGCGGAGTAAGTGCGTGTGCGTGTGCGTGTCGGTTACGTCACATAAATCGTTACGAGTTTTATTTTTAATTCGAAAACTTTTTGAGAAAAATTTGAAATTTAACATACGTCACAAATTTTTTCCTTTTTTTTTCCTTTTTTTCTCTCCTTTTTTCCTTTTTTTAAATTGTGCGGTTATATAAATTTTCCTCTCTAAATGTTTTCAATTTTATCGAATGAATTTCGGGAAATTTTTTTTTTTTTTTGATTGTTTTTCATTGGGGGGCCGGTAATAATGATAAGGAGTGCCATCGAAAACTGACGAGAGAGAGAGAGAGAGAGACAGAGTGTGCGTGTGCGTGAGGAAACCTTTTAAGAAAGAATTTTCTCATAGTTGGTAAAAGGAAAACTTGAACACATTTTTTTTTTATTTAAAAAAAAAAAAAAAATTTAAACAAGAATTTTATAGAAAACATTTTTCAAGATACCACAAATACGATTTTCCCTACTTAAAAATGGATTTTTTCTATTGACACGTTTTATCAAGTCAAAAAAAAAGGATTTTAGAATTCTTTTTTTCTTTTTTTTGTGATTAAAAAAAAAAAAAAAAGCTCGAAAATCAAACGTTAAAAAAAAAAAAAAAAGTTTTGCGGGTTAAAACAAACGATTTTACATTTATTTCCTCTTCCTCCCTCGTCTTTTCCCTCTTTACCCTCCCCATTCCCCCCATTTTTTGCTCGTCATCCCCTTCGGAAAGACAAATCGAAAAAAAAAAAAAAAAAAAAATTTCTGTCGAATTTTAATAATGAATTTTTTTTCATTACTATTATCATTATTATTTTTCTTTGAATTTCCAAAAAAAAAAAAAAAAAACCGTTGAAACATAATAAAATTACCGTTATCGTTATTATCATTATCATTATCATTATTATTATTATTATTAGTCGAGCGTATTAAAAAAAAAAAATTTTCCACCTAAAGCGATAACGTGATAAGATTTCAAATTTTTTTTTTTTTTTTTTTTTTTTCAAATCGGAATAACCGGAAATTCATTTAAAAATTTCATTATTATTATTATTATTATTATTTGAAAGGGTTTCGGGAAAATGGTTGGTGCCACTTTAATAAATTGATTAAAGATGATGGGGGGGGGGGGAGGGGGGGGGAAAAAAAAGTTTTCCCGAGTCATTCGAAATTTTACATATTAATTTTTTTTAAACCGGAAGTAAAAAGGAAAAATTTTGACGAAAATTAATTTTTTTTTTTTTTTTCCTTTCGATATTTTATTAACGATGTATCGATCGATCGATCGAACGATCGATCGAACGAAATTTTCCACGATTAATATTTATTTAAAAAACAATGAATGTGGAAATTACGTGGAAGGAAGAAACGAATTATGTCTTTTTATTTATTTACACGACAACGACGACGACGGTTACGGGATTTTTTTTTTTTTTTTTGTACGGGATTAAAAATAGGATGTAAATACCTGAGTTGCATTTCGGGATAACCGAAAAGACAAAAAAAAAAAAAAAAAAATTTTTTTTTTTTTTCCTGATGACACGACTGGATTTTATTCTATTTCCACGATTAAATGAATTATAAATTATCATCGAGATATTTTCTCAAACGGTTTCATTTTAAAATTTATTATTATTATTATACATTTCTATTCTCACGTGACTTTTTTTTCTCTATGGAAAATTTTTTTTTTTTTTTAAATCCCACGGAAAAATATATTCCAGGACGGGTATTTTTTTTTTTTTCGGGAATTTTCATTATTATTATTATTATACCGCGCGAAAGAAAAAAAATTTTTTTAAAATGAGGAAAAGCGTTTTTTATACGAAAATTTAATATGACACCCCCCTGCATTTCCGCCCACTCCCTCTCCCTACGGTTTCCTTTCGACGACGTTTTAAAAAAATTTTTCTTGACGTACCTGTCAGGTAATTACCGGATTTTAAAAAAAAAAAAAAAATTAATTAAACGTTTTTAAAAATGTCATTTATTTTTTGAACGGTTATAAAAATTCATCGTGTCACGAGACGATTTTTTTCATTATTATTATTATTATTATTACTTACACGAGAAGCGTAAAAAAAAAAAAAACATTCGGTCGGATTTTTTTTTGATTTTTCCATCGGGAATTAATTTTTTTTTTTTTTTTTTTTTTGTAAAATGATATTTTATTTGATTTTTTTTTTTCTAATTCCACTTTCCCAACCTAATCACCCCCCCACCCCCACACATTTTTTTTTTTTTGTAATCAACCGTCACGCAGGTAATTTTATTTCGTTTTCTTTTTTTTTTTTGACGATCGTAAATCGTATTTTTTTTTTTTTTTTAGGACAAAAGCTTTTGCATTCGTCTCCTCTCCCTTCTCTCCCTTCCCAAACCACTTATCCCGTTAAATTCCCCAAAGTACAAAATAAAAACAAAGAGAGAGAGAGAGTGGGGGAGAGAGGAGGGGTGAGAGGGTTGTTGTTGAGTGACGTTAAACATTTACATCTATTGATAATGTTATAAAATTAACGATTTCATGAATGCACACACATAAACGTGTTTACACAACACACACGCACACGCACGCACGCACGCATTCAAGTTCTTATCTGTTTTGTGTTAAAGCTTTTACTTTTATCCATTCATCGATTTTTTTTTTTTTTTGGGGGGGGGGGGGGGGGAGAAACGACGACCGACTACTACCTTTGCATTCAAAAAAAAAAAAAGCGTCTTTTTATCTCTCTCTCTCTCTCTCTCTCTTTCTTTTTCTTTTTCTTCTTCTGCGTCTTCTTTGATGTAATTTAAAAAAGCATAAAGTTTTATAAACTAAAATATCAAAAAAGATAAATTTAAAGAAAAAAAGAAAAAAAAGAAAAGAAGAAGAAAAAGAAAAGATGAAGAAGAAGAAGAAGAAAAATTCGAGAACCATTGAATTCAAATTTAAAAAAAAAAAAAAAAATTTTCTTTTTTTTATCGACGTCGTCCCCCTTCTGAGAAAGGTCGGAAATTTCTCTCTCCCTCTCTCTCTCTCTCTCTATCTATCTCTATCTCTCTCTCTCTATGAAAAAGAAAGGTTTGTAGGTGGGAAGGAAGGAAGGAAGGAAGGAAGGAAGGTAGTATGTATGTAATTCCGATTCGATACGCATGTCATCATTCATTTCCTCAACCATTTCCGTTTCCTTTTATTATTTTTTTTTTAAAGTTAAATTAATTTAACCAAATATGCTTTGTTGTATTGATTAAAAGTTGTTTTCGTCGTCGTCGTTGTCTTTGTCACCCCCTCCACCTCCCCTCCCCCGCCTCCCTCCTCCCCCCGGTTTAAAAAGATTATCCTAAATAAAGGATGAAATTGATAATGATAACAACGACATAGTTTATAAAATATTTCAAACAAATTTTGAACTTATATATATATATACCCACAATCTTATTATTATTATTATTATTATTATTATTATTATTATTATTATTATTATTATTATTATTATTATTATTATTATTATTTAAAATTTGTTAACGAATTTAAAATACGACCGTTATTATTAACATTATTATCATTTCGTATTTCTTTCACGAAAGGTTTGTAAGTAATAATAATAATAATAATATTACCGTTTAAAAATGAGTATCGTGTAATTAGACGCGGGCGAGCGAGCGCGCGCGCGAACGAAAATAATATCGAATATGAAAAAATCGTTTTTTTTTTTTTTTTTTTTTTTTTTTTTTTTTGTTTCCCCCCCCCCGGGGAAAATTGGCAAACCTGGAACGACGTGAACAAAGATAAAACTAATAAAAAAAAAAAAAATTTTAAAGTTTCGTTCCTTCCCCTTTTTTTTTTTTTACTTGTTAGACAAATATAAAAAAAAAAAAAATTTTTTAAAAAAAAAAAAAAAAAAAAAAAAAAAAAAATTAATATTTTTTAATACGTGATGAAAATAAATAAGTGATTATTGTTATTTTTTTTTTTTTTATTATCATTATCATTATCATTATTATTATTGTTGTAGTCGATGCTGTTAAATTGATAAAATCAAAATTTATAAAAATAATAATAATAATAATAATTTTTTCGTATGAAAAGAATGAAATTTGGAAATCTCGTGATTCCTTTGGAATTCATCGAGTTTTCCAGATCGAGGATAAAAATACTCCATTAATAATCGTATTCGATCATCATCATCATCATCATCACTAATCACAATAATAATAATAATAATAAATAAAATTAAACGAATGGAATATGTATAAGGATCGGGGAGAAAAATGAAAAATTTATCTGGTGAAAGAGATGAACATTGCCTTAAGGGAAAATACATGTCGGCCAACGATCACGTGAGAAATTGGCATTTGAAAAAAACAACAAAAATCGATGGAACAAACGATAATAATCATCATCATCATTACTATCACGTGAGAGGACAAGAAAAAGGTATATATATGGCGGGAGGGGAGGGGGAGGGGGAAAAATTACATTCGATAAGGATTTAAAACGCGAGTGTGTATTTACTATCCTTTTATTTTACAGGAGGAAAACATCACGAAAGTGAAAAACAATGTAAATTGATAGAATCGCCGCGTAAAAAAAAACACAACGAACATGGTAAACATCAAAGGAAAATATTAGGTTGTTTGGATGGTAAACAAAGGGGTAAAAAACAATACAAAACGACTATGACGACGAGATGGGGAGATTCGTGCGATACGAAAACGGGTGATAAAACAGGTACGACGAAACAAGATAAAGACACGACGACGGGAGAATACGTATGGCTGAATAAAAATAAAAACGACGCGGGAGCGGGGAAAAGCGGAAATGGGAAAAATTTCAGTAGCACGTGGGATCACACGAATTATTCGATACTACCCTTTAACAACATACATAACAAATACGATAAAAATTATTTCGTTAAAGGAAATCATCATCATCATCATCACAATAATCATCATCATCATCATTCAAAAAATATCAACAAGAGTGAAAGAGTGAGAAAAATGAGGAGCAAATCAGCAAATCGTAACGATGTTAAATACGATTTGAAACAAAATAAACACAACATCGGAAAAGATATGTATCATCATCATCATAATCACATGCATAAGAAAAACAAACCGAGAAAAGAAATGGATTATTTTCATTGTAAAAACATGCCGACGAAAGAAGATGGTAGGAGGAGGAGGAGGAGAAACGACGACGAACTCAACAATAATCAAACGATAATCATATATCAAAGACACAATAAGAAAAATTACATCGGTTCCGAATTCGAAAACGATTACAGACTAGAAAGTTTTTCCTACACGGAAAATTGTGGGAAAACGCTCGTGGACTCATCGTATCCGTCCAAGAGAAGTTTATCCGAACCTAGAAAATCTCAATTCAATCACGCTCAATATTGCGCGATATCGTCGAATAAGAAAAATTTAGATTTTCATTCGTCGATTGATTTTTTCAGCAGCAACGGTGCTCAGGGTATTGAATTTCATCACGATGGACTCGCGACGGAAAACCCGGGGAAAAATTTCGACAAATCGAAAGATTTGACTCATCGTTTGACCGAGTACATGGTGTCGAACGATATCAAAAACGATAAGAAAATATTCAAGTACGCGGCGTCCAACAAGGGAATACTCGAGAAGAGATTGAAAGATGCCGCGAATAAAAAATTAGATTTGCACCGGGAAATGATGAGATTGGATCAAATCGATAAAATGAAATTTTGGGAATCGATAAAACATTCTCTGAATTATAGATGCGCCGTCGCCGACATGTTTTCCGCGAGATCGTTTTTAAGCTCGCAAGATCGTTCGGGTAATTATTATTCGAGCACGGAAAATTCCACGGAAATTTTCTTCAGAGGGAGCATCATTGAAAAAATATCGAGTTATCAAGTAAGAACGAACATTTATTACGGTTGCGATTACGTCGCGACATCGGAAAAATCATCATCATCATTATTATTTGTTTTTTTTTTTTTTTTTTTTTTTTCGTAGGAATTTCACAGGATCAAAACATCCGATCATTTGACGAGAAATCGAGATATCGAAAGTTCGATGTCGCCGTATGCGAATTTAAAATGTAATCGATTGCAAAATATCGAAGCGTTTTTACTCGCGAACGAAAAAGATCTCGACGATAAATTACTGTCGAAAAATAATAATAATAATAATAATAATAGTAATGGTAGTAATAATAGTAATAATAATAATAATAATAATAATAATAATAATAATAATAATAATTATCATCAATATAAAAATACGGAATCCGCATCGAGTTTCACGAGCGTGAGCTGTCAAAATCTTTTACAAGCAAGCGCGAATTCGAGTTTTCTACTGCACAATTCGCGTGAGAAATTTTCACTCATGGAAAACAATTTAACGAATTCATCGTCGGAATTACGATTTCTCATGGGTAAACTCTCGGGAGAAATAAAAAAATGCACGAATTTCCTACAGGAATTACATAAGAAGGGTAATAACAATAATAGGATAACGTTAAAGGAATCCGTGAGCGAAAGTGATTTTTTCAACGAGAGAAAAAAAACGAGGTTCGAAGAGAGGAAAAAAAAAGGTTGCGAATTTTCCGCTTTCCCGATAATATTATATCCCGCGGCGGATAGCGCGACAAACTTGGATGCGGGTTTCAAATTGAATAGAAATAAAAAACTCGACGACGAGAATTACAAACAAACGAAATCCGATGGAAACGATGGAAAAGTGGTAAAATCGACGAGGATAAATGACGAAGTCAAAGTGGAAAACGAAATAGTTAAAAAACAAATACAACCGGAGAAAAGTTCGGATGCGGCTTTTCTAAATGAAGATTTCGAAGAGAGACACACGAGCAAGAGTAATTTATCGTTGAAATCATTTTCCGTCGATAAACAAATCGCTGAATTGGATGAAAAAATAAAAGAAAGGGAAAAGGAAAAGGACAGGGAATGGGAAAGGGAAAAGGAAAGGCAAAGAGAAAGGGAAAGGGAAAGAGAAAGGGAAAGGGAAAGGGAAAAGGAACAAGAAATGGTAAAACCGGCAAATTTTAAAGTTCCATCGGCGAAAATACAAAAGGATACGCGGCTCAAAAGAATCGAATCCTGTTGCGAAGATTGTAAAATTCTAACGAAAAGAATAACGAAGCTGGAAAAGGAATTGCAAAGGATCGAAAATAAGGTTCACTTGTATCCGATAAAACATAAGAAATCGTTTAAAAATTGTTTGGAAAGAATAAAAGGTACGTCGGAAACCATGCTCACGAGGTTAAGCTCGTGGTCGAGATTCACAGGAGGTTGCGGAAGCGGGAAAAGTGGCGGCGGTGCTGGTGGTGGTGGTGGTGGTGCTGCGGCACCGTCGTCATCAAAAAAAGTCGATAAAAAAGAAAAAGTACCATCTAGGAGAACAGCATCCGCTCCCGAAACCGTCCTACAAAAGGAAATGTTTCGAGTTTTATCCGTTAGGAAAAGCGAAAGCAATTGCGATTTGAACGTCGGAATGGAAATAAGAATGGAAAATGTGGATCCGGTAACGGGTAAAAAACTTTACCCGGAAGTTAATCCGAAAACGAAACAGGAAGGAAACATACAGTGTAGATTATATAAAAACAACGACGCGCCCGTTATGATCATGGATACGGATTTTTCATACAATCCCGTTTCAGGTACGATGGAAAAAATTTTTAATTTATTTAAATGGGGAGGCGTACATTCATAAAAAAAAAAAAAAAAATTTTCCCGATTTTTTCCCCCCGCAGGTATGCTATTTAAAAAAAGGGAGAGTGATAAATTGGAAAAAGGAGGTGAATCCTCTCAAAGTGATTATTATTCAAATTCAACGAAAAAATTAGCCAATTTTCGTAAACAGCAATACAAAAACGATAAAGAACGTATGAGTTTGAGAAAGAAATCATCGATAACGGTCGCCATGGAATGCGATATGGGTAATCAAACGTGTTTTTCATCAAAACCTAATTTAACGTTGAAAAGAGAAAAGAGTAAAAAATTTAAAGATGCGAGTTGCATGGTTTTACCCGTGAAAGAATCACCAATATCGTTCAATAATAATAATAATAAGGTAACGGAAGATGATGATGAAAAAATCATAATAGTTCGAGAAGATGAAACGGTCGACGAATATAACAAAATCGATGGAAAATACAAGAAGAAAAAAACGACGACGGCGACAACGACAACGACAGCAATGACAGCGACAGCAATGACGGCGACAGCAACGACAGAGACAGCAACGACAGCGACAGCAACAACAGGTATGGGAAAAGAAGAAATGCAAAACGAAATCCCACTCGACGATTTCGAATTTATAATACCGTCGAAAAGTACAAAATCGAAAAAATCGATAAAAATCGATAAAATCGATTACGATGATAATAATTCAGAGGATAAAGATTCGATATCGATGGATAAATCGATAACGCCCACGACTACGACAGCGACGACAACGACAACAGCAGCAGCTGCGGCAGTTACGACGACAACAATAAACGAAGAAATAGATGAAGAAAAGCCAAAGATAAAATTTAAAAATATATTTAAAAAAGACAATGTGAAAAAATCCCGAATCCCGAGAAGAAGAAAGGAAAGTCTCAGTAAGATTTAACGGTGCTTTTTTAATTTTTTTTTTTTTCTTATTATTATTATTATTTTCGAGTTTAAAAAAATGGCGGGAAAATTTGATTTTAATAATTTTCTTATTTTGTTTTTTTTTAATCTCTAAAAAAAAAAAAAAAAGATTCTTTAGATAAAACAGAAATAATTTCGTCGAAAAGTAGTTTCGTGTCAATAACAAGATCAGAAGGTGGAACAATACCAACACCAGTACTCTACACAAAGGTTTGAATTTTAGTAATAATCGAACGAGCGGAAGCGGGGTAAAAAAAAGGCGGGAAAATAATTTAAATTTTTTTTTTATTTAGAACGTGGCCGGAAAAGAAAAAATAAAAAATATCGATAAGGGTACGCAAACAACGTGTAAGCGAATTTTAGTCAAACAACCGAGAAACGTTGATTCGGAAACGCAAACGCAAAAATTACAACAACAACACGGCGTGTGCAACAAACAAAAACACAACGGAATGCAAGCAAGTGCGGAAACGGTGACGAAATGCGTGCAAACGGATAAAAGGAAAAACAATCAGAGTAGCACGGAAACGTTTTGGATATGCGACGACGATAGGTCGTCCATATTGGAAATGAGTAAAGAATCGCAAACGGATTTCGCGCCGACTTATCCGACCGTCGTCAACATAGCCATACAAACGAATCTAGATGATGAGAAATCGAGTAAGAGATCGAGTGTCGGACTTCAAACGAATTTACCAACGGAAGAAACATTGAGAATAATGAACGATTTGAAAACTCAGAAAAAAGTCAATTTGGCCATTGCCGAATTGTGTTTTCATTTAACGTCGAAAGAAAGGGATGATGTTTAAATATATGATCAACCGTGTGTCGACACTTTGACGTTTGCGCGACATTTTTTTTTTTTTTTTTTTTTATTATTATTTTTTTTTTTTTTTCGCTTCAATCGACGACAAAAGAAAAGAAAAAAAAAAAATAATACCAGGTACGATTATTATTATTATTATTACTACTACTATTACGTCACCGCGAGGGTAAATATAAAAAAAAACCGTTAAGGGTAGAAAAGTGGAAGAGGAGAAAAAACCGTTAAATTTATGTCTGGGAAATTTTATTTATGTTCGTTCGACTCTTGAAAAAAAAAAAAAACAACCAACCGAACGTACAAAATAATAAAAATAATAATAATAATAAATTTTAAAATGTGGGAGAATAACAAAAAACAAAGTCGGCCATTTTTTTTTTTTTTTTTTTAGAAAAAAATAAGGAAAATTTATTAATATAAATTGAGAAGAGCTTAAAACGATTAAATTAAGGAAATAATAATAATAAAAATAATATTTAACGTTTAAGGGTCGGTTGTTTATGTAAGAGGGGTAGTTGAAAATTTTCAAAATCGGATTTCGTACGAAAAAAAAAAAAAAAAAAAAAAAAAAAGGGAGAAACGATGGCTAAAATGGCGGGAGCGGAAACGGCGATGGTGGCGGTAGTGGTGGCGGTTGTGGGAAGTAGTCGAGAGAGAGAGAGAGAGAGAGAGAGAGAGTAATTTACGGTTTTGTTTAAAATAATTTCTTTTCGGAAAAATGTTTCGTTTTTTTTTTTTTGGGGGGGGGGAAAGGGGGAAAGGGTATATCGTTCGCGTTTTTTAAAAAAAAAAAAAAGTCGTAATCAATATTGCCACCCTAAAAAAAAAAAAAATTTTAAATAAAATCAAAGCCGAAGGTATACTACGAGGATGGTGACGGGGAAAAACGAAAATGAACGGGGAAATTTTTCCCTTCCCATCGTATATAATTAAAAAAAAAAAAAAAAATTTTTTTTATTTACGGTCATCATCGTCACGTACGTCACCGTTACCGTCGTCGTCGTCGTCATCGTCTATGACGTCATTATTATTCTCGTGTTTATTTTTTAAATCAACTTTTTCTTGTCAATTTTTGTCCATTCTCCATTTTGACATTTTTTATTTTATTTGACAAAGTTTTTTTGAAAATCGAAAACCAATATTTTAAAAAAAAAAAAAAAAAACTTTTTTTGATTTTTTGTAATATTATTATTATTATTATTATTATTATTATTATTATTATTATTATTATTATTATTATTATTTATTAATATTTACATTTCTACGATAGATAGGTGAAAAGGGATGAGGGGTATAGTGTAAAAAGGTGGAGGTCACGTGATTGCTTTTCGTTATTTTTTGCGCGCGCGCGCGTTGTTGCCAACTATTATTTCCGATTGTTGACGTTTTTCTTCCTTACCCTAACCCCCCCCAATTACCGCCTCCGGTTTCTCCTCTTTCCCCTACGTTTACATTTCCCAACCGATCGTGAAATTTTATTCATCGTCGACGCCATTTTTTTTTTTTTTTTTTCATTCGTTTATATCGTGTAAACGTTGTTATTATTGTTTCTTTATATCGTTTAGTATACCCGTCGGGATGTTGTATTAAAAATCTACTGCCACGTTTTTTTTTTTTTTTTTTTTTTATTTTCACTAAAAAACGTGCGTTCGAATTATTTAACGGTTTTATCGGGTTAAAAAGGTAAAACGTTTTATTTCCCCTCTCCCCTTCCCCGCAAAAAAAAAAAAAAAAGAAAAACGCGATTCCGTTAGGGAAAATTATTATTATTATTATTATTTACAATTTATTCGGTTTTTACATGTAGTAAACAAAATTTTAAAGTGGAGGGGGGAAGGGGGGAAAAACGTGACGTGAACGAATAATTCAAAAAAAAAAATAAAGGGGAAAAAAACCGTTGAAACAATTCTACCAACCTTAACTGAATTTCCTTTTTTTTTTTTTCCCCCCCCATCTACGTCATAAAAACGACGTTTGAAAATCGACGTGTCCGAAAAAAGGGAAAAAAAAGGAAAATATTTATTATCGTTACGAGTGACACACAAAAAACGGGGGCAGGGGGGGGGAGGAAATGGCGATTTCGAAAACATTTCTAAAAAAATTTTTTTTTTAGATAAAAAGAAAGAAAAGTTTTTAATGGATTATTTTGTTTCTTTTTCCGAAAATTTTACTCACGTCATTTTTTTTTTTTTTTTTGAAAAAATAAAAAAAATGAAAGTTTTTATCCGTGAAAATAAAAAAAAAAAAAAAAAAAATTGAAAATAAATATAAAAGGAAAACGAAATACGACGACGACGACGACGACGAATTAAATTTTCGAATTTTTTTCATTCGCGTCATACTCCCCCTTCCCTTCCCTCTCTCTCCCCCCTCCGTTCCCTCCCCGCGACTTCCTTTTCCGGTTTATTCCTCCTCCCCCTTCTCACCCACCCACTCGGAACAGAGTCGTTACAATGAAAAAGTTAATTAATCCCTTTAATTACGTTTAGATAAAATGAAAATTTTGTAGTTTTCTTTTTTAAGAAAATGAGATTTATTATTAACATATTAATCTTACGGAATTTAATTATTATTATTATTATTATCATTATTATCATTATTATCATTATTATTATCATTTCAATTTAATTTTTTATATCGCGTTTTTAAAATTGATTTCCTCTTTATTTTTCGAGCAAAAAAAAAAAATTTTTGGGTCCGAAAAATAAAATTTCTTTACCTTCCCCCTTCCCCCTCCCTTCCCCCGCAAAAATAATATAATAATGATGATAATAATGATGATGATAATAATAATAATAATAATAATAATAGGATGAGATTTTTGTGAGAAAATAATAAAAGGAAGCAAGACGACGATGAATGAATGGGTATCGGTCGGTTTATGGGAAGAAAAAGAGTAAGAGAGAGACAGAGAGAGTATGTGTGTGTGCGTATGTGTGAGAGAGAGAGAGAGACAGTTTGTGTGCGTGTGTTTGTATGTGTGTAAGAGAGAATAAGAGAGTGAAAGATTGAATGTGTGCTTGTTTGTGCGTGTGTGAGAGAGAGAGAGAAAGTGTATGTGTGTGTGAAAGAGAAAAAGAGAGAAAGACTAAATGTGTGTGTGTGTGTGTGTGAGAGAGAGAGAGTATGTTTATGAATATGCGTGTGTGTAAAAGAGAGAGAAAGTTTGTATGCTTGTGTATGTGTGAGAGAAAGTGAGAGAGAAAGATTGAGTGTGTGTGCGCGTGAGTGTGTGCGAGAGAGAGAGTGTATGTGTGCTTGTTTGTGTGTGTGTGCGTATGTGAGAGAAAGAGAGAGTGTGCGTCTGTGTATGTGTGTGAGAGAGAGAAAAACATTTTTTTTCATTCCTTTTTTTTTTATTTTTTTTATTTTTCTCCTTCCACTTAGTTGATTTTTTTCATTTTTCAATTTTAGTTAAGAAAAAAAAAAAAGAAAACCTGTCAATTTTCTTTTCATTCAATATTCAGTCAGTCATTCACTCATTCATTCATTCTTCATTCATTCATTCCCTCGTTCTATTTTTTTTCCGGAGGTTTTAAATTATTATTAAAAAAAAAAAAAAAAAAAATCGGGAAAAACTAATGTTTATAAAACAGTTTAATAATATTCCGGCCATTTTTATTATCATCATCATCATCATCATCATCAATAATAATAATAATAATAATAATAATAATAATAATAATAATAATAATAATAATAATAATAATAATAATAATAATGATAATGATAATAATGATAATGATAATAATGATAATGATAATGATAATGATAATAATAATGATAATGATATGAAATTAAAATAAATAATTTATTTTTATTAAAAAAAAAATCGTTCAATCTACTTATTTATTTATTTAATATCAAATAAATAAATAAATAAATAATAGAAGAAAAAATTATTTTTTTAAATAAAAAATCTTATTAAAAATAAAATTTAATATTATTAATAATAATAATGATAATAATGATGGGATTTAATTTTTTTTTTGTTTTGTTTTTTTTTTTCAGTTGGCAAAACTGTTTTCTTTTACGTGGACTTTTGGTTTTTTGCTTTGCAAATTGGTTCATTATATGCAAAGCGTGTCTGCCATTTGCAGCGTATTGACATTGACGGCAATGAGCCTGGAAAGGTTAGTAATAATAATAATGATAATGATAATGATAATAAACTCACGCCGAACTCACGCACACGCACTAAAACAAAAAAAATGGCGGAAGGCGAAGGTAAAAAAAACATTTAAAAATAAATTTTAATTATAACAACATAAAATCTCGCACTTTCTCTCACACTATCCCTCTATCTCTCTCTGACATTTGTAAACCATTAAGAAAAAAGGTTTAAATTAATGAGTCAGAGAGAGATAGAGAGAGAGAGAGAGAAAGAAAGGGAGAAAGGGAATGATGTAGGTAATGTAAAGGTAATAGATAGGTTTCTTTTTTTTTTTTTACAAATTCAACCAGCGTCAGGTAATTAAATAAAGTTTTTCCTCTTCCTTCCTTCCCTCCCCCTCCCCTCTTCTCCCTATCTCTCCTCTTTCTCCCCATTGCCTCCTATTCCCCTTTTGTACTCCTCCTCCCCCCGAAAAAAAAAAAAAGAAAAATCTATTGAGATTCTATAAGGAAGTTGTTTACGTTGTTTTTACGAAAATTTATTATTATTATTATTATTATTATTATTATTATTATCGGTATAAATTCCAGAGAGGAAGTTATTTTCTGGAAAAGCTCACTCACAGTTTTTTTTTTTTTTCCGAAAAGTTTTCCGGTTGAGAAACGAAAAAAAATAAAATAAAAAATTTTTCGTCTGCTTTTTTTTTTTTTATTCTTCTTCTCGTTGTTTGTTTTATTTGCATTTTTTTTTTAGGGGGGGGGGGGAAAGGGAAAGAAAATTTATTTGATTACGTCACGGATCAAAGCTGTTGTTGTTGTTATTGCGGTTCGCGATTTTTTTTTAAATTTTCACCTTCCGGAAAATAATAATAATAATAATAATAAGAGTATGAAAAATTGGTGCACCCAACTGGAAGTACAAAAATACTCTTCTAGGATAATATTTATAAAAAGAGGAATTTTTCAGGGAGATTCACTGTCGTCACTTTTATTCTGCATGTCTTTAATCCCTCTGTCCAGAGGGACAACTTAATATCAAGGATCAAGGATTAAGAGTTGGTACCGGGAGGCAGGAAAATCACCCATATGTGTTGTACATGGAGCGAAGAAGAATGAAGAAAATATTAACGACGATACAAACTTTTTCCTCTGACATCAACATGAAATTTGGTTTGGAAAAATGTGCCAGAGTTAATATTGTCAGAGGAAAGTTAAAACAAAAGGAAAATATAGAAGGCGCTGAAAAAGAACTTATTAAAGAACTGGACCCTGGATCAACATACAAATATCTAGGGATTGAAGAAAATTTTGGGGTAGCCAACGAGGAAATCAAGCCGCGATTGAAGAAAGAATATTTTAAAAAATTGGAACAAAATGGAAGAAATAAGTTAAACGCCTTCGGCACATTAGCAGTTCCAGTAATAGAATACAGAATTTGGCCTCGTAGACTGGACAAAAGAAGAAATCACGCACCTGGACAGAAGAACAAGGAAAATATTAACAATGAATGGTGCGTTATATCCAAAGTTGATGTGGATAGATTATAGATAAGAGGATTACGACAAATAGAAGCGGCACACCAGAATGCCATAATTGGAATGGGAAAATACATGGAATCTCATCAAGGGGACCCTATCTTAGCCCAAGTTATACATGCGGAAGAAAAAATTACAAACAAAAAGGAGTTCTGGAAAGGGCAAAACAAATCGTCCAAGAAAATAAAGAAAACGAGATAATGGAAGAGGGGCAACTTGCAACTTATAATAGCAAAGCCCAATCTCAGAAGAAATTAAAAGGCAAATGGGAACAGAAAAAATTACATGGGCAATACCTAAAAAGAATAAATGCCGACGATATTAATAAGAAGAGCACGCACAATTGGCTACGACGTGGAAAACTTAAAATAGAAACAGAAGCGTTTATTACAGCGGCTCAAGATCAGGCATTGCGGACCCATAACTATGAAAAAGTAATTCTCAAAGTCCGCCAAGATGACAAGTGCCGAATTTGCCAATCACAATCGGAAACCATCGATCATTTAATTTCCGGTTGTCCGATACTGGCAAAACATGAATATTTAGAAAGGCACAATAAAATATGTCAATATCTCCATTGGAGTATATGCCGAGAATATGGAATGGATGGATTACCCAAGGAGTGGTACAACCACATTCCAAGCCCGGTTACGACAGTAGGCCCATGCACAGTTCTATATGATCAACAAATCCACACTGATAGAACTGTGCCAGCTAACAAACCGGATATCATACTCAGGCATAATGCGGAAAAATGGTGTAAGTTAATTGAGGTATCCGTGCCGGCAGAAAAAAACACCAGGCAGCCAAAGAAGCAGACAAAAGGGAGAAATATAGAAATTTGGAAATTGAAATAGCCAGGATGTGGGGAGTAAAGACAGGAACCATTCCAGTCATCGTGGGAGCATTGGGAGCCATGCCACATTCCATAAAAGGAAATTTAAAGGAAGAAACCATCCAGGAAATCGCACTATGTGGGACGTCCCACATTCTTCGGAAAATACTCTATAAATAGCACCACCGAAATTCGAGTATTTGTCCCTAAGGAATCGTCGGGGAATAAATGCTTAAAAACCCCGACAAATAAGAGCCTTGTCGTGTTTAAGAGTGACCATAATAATAATAATAATAATAATAATTGTCGTGTGTCATTAACGCGCGGTGGGAAAAAAAAAGAAAATGTTAATTGATGACGTCATAATTTTATTTTTTTTAGATATTACGCAATAGTTCATCCAATGAAAGCTCAATATATATGTACCATAAGCCAAGCACGAAGAATAATCACAGCCACTTGGATTTCAGCATTTCTCCTAGCCGTACCTATTTTATTCGCACAGGTGTGAATTTTTCTTCTTTTTTAACCGTTTTTTACGAAAAATCTCAAGAGAGAGAAAGAGACAGATAGAAAGAGAGAGAGAGAAAAACAAAACAAAAATAAAATTTTAATGTCATTAAAAAGTTTAAGAAATTCGGGAACCGCCATTTTGACGCGCAAAAAGTTTTTTTTTTTTTTTTTAAATTTTCTTTTGTTTTTTTGTAAATTTCTTTTCGTTCTCTCTCTCTCTGTCTCTGTCTCTCTCTTTCTCGCAAAAAAAAAATTTATTTTAAACGTTAAAAAATTTAGTATTAGTTTTATTATTATTATTATTAATAAATTTTTAAGTAAAATTTAAACGTTTGTAAAAAAAACAAAAAAGAAGCTGGGACTGCGACAACCTTTGGGAAAATTTTTTTCCCACCCTCTTCTCCCTCTAATTCCTCTCCCCTCTCTCAGAAGAAGTGAAATTCACTATTTTCTACCCATATAAACTCAATCTACAATTAAATAATAAAAAAATAAAGTAATATGAAGGCATATCAGAATTTTTTTAAAATTAATTAAATCTTAATTAAAATTTTACCCTAAAAACATCGAAAAATTTACTCTGAGTTATCCGTAAAACATAATACCCAAGGAGGTATAGAAAAAAATAAAATTCAAACAATGAATTCCCGCTTAAAATAAAATGTGTGTCAGGTAAAATATACAAGGTCGACCTTGAATGCAAAAACGTGACCATGAAAAATTTTCACAAAATAAAATTTTAAAACTGGTGGCCTTGTATTCAAGGTCGACCTTGGTTGAAAAATCATGACCATGAAAAATTTCACAAAATCGAAATGTAAAACCAATGGCCTTGGATTCAAGGTCGACCTACTTTTGAATAAATCGTAAACGTTGGATTTTCGCGCTCAATGTCATTTTTAACTTAATTTTTAATCGAAAATTTTTTTCCGATTTATCCGTAAAACATAATATCCAAGGAGGTATATTGAATAAAATGAAATTCAAACAATATTTATCAAATATAAAATATATATATATATATATATATATATTTTAAATATTTATTAATTACAAAAATATTTATTACATATATTACGAATGTAAAACAAAATGCATATACAATTTTTTTAAGGAGAGGGGACAAAAAAAATCGAGAAAAAAAAGTCATCAAAATTTTACACTAAAAATATTGAAAAAATTTCCTCTGATTTATCCGTAAAACATAATATCCAAGGAGGTCTATTGAATAAAATAAAATACAACGTTGGATTCAATCTTAAAATCGGGCGTACAGAGATTACACATTTACTTGATGCAATATGCACCTTTTCATAATTCCTTACAGTTTAAATTCAATATACGTCATCAATTCCTACCGATTTTGATACAGATATAAAGCGAGTAGAGGGGAGGGGAGGGGTATTACATTATCTGTATTTACAATGAGACAAATCAAACCTAAAGAAAATCCCTAAAACAACAGCTAATAATAATAATAATAATAATATATCTAATAAGTATCTAATTCCAAGATACGAAATTTATTAACTTTATTATTATTATTATTATTATGGTCACTCTTAAACACGACAAGGCTCTTATTTGTCGGGGTTTTTAAGCATTTATTCCCCGACGATTCCTTAGGGATAAATCCTCGAATTTCGTTGGTGCTATTTCCGAAGAATGTGAACCGTCCCACATAGTGCGATTTCCTAAATGATTTCTCCTTCCTTTAGATTCTTCAAAATTTTCTTTAAATTTCCTTTCATTGAATGTGGTGGCATGGCCCCCAGTGCTGCTCCCACGGGAACCGGAATCGTTTCTGTCTTTACCTCCCCACATCCTGGCTATTCCAAATTTCCAAATTTCACCCTTTTGCCTGCTTCTTAGGCTGTTTGCTGTGTTTTTTTCTGCCCGCACGGATACCTTAATTAAATTACATTATTATTATTATTATTATTATTGTTGACTTTCAGGTACATTTGAGAGTCGGAATAAAAGTGGAAGCTTATTGGTGCGTGAGAGATTGGGATAATAAAACATTATGGAAAGCTCACGAATTATACATGATGCTTCTCATACTCGTCGTACCAACAGGTCGAGTCTATAATTAAATTATTATTATTATTATTATTATTATTATTTTACAAATCAATTTTTTCGTCATGACTATGACGTCACGACGTTTTTTTCCTTCTCACGATTCAAATATTTTCTTAATTAATAAATTAACATTATTATTATTATTATTATTACTAAAATTAAAATTAATTAAAATTGTGAGAAAATAAAAAAAAAAAACAAAAAATTTTTTTCAAAGTTTTAACGTTAAAAGATAATGATGATAATGATGATTATGATGATGATGATTATGATGATGATAATGATGATGATAATGATGATGATGATGATGATTATGATGATGATAATGTTAATTATATTAATTAAAAAAATTTTTTTTAAATTTTTTTTTAAATTCCAGGTGTCATGGCGGTCGCATACACTGCCATCTGTTGTGAAATATGGGAAGTTATACAAAGAAGGGAAGACATGACCTCCGGAAAGGGGTATATATATATGTTAACGGTTTTTTTTTTTTTTTTTTTAAATACTTTTCTTATCAATTTAACTAAAGGAGGGGAAAGCAGGGGAGAGGAGAGGGGAGGGAAGATGAGGGGGGAGATAGATAGACGCATTTCACGAGTATTTAATAAACTTTCAGGCACGAGTGGAAAGTAAGAAATCGCGTTATGAGGAGTTCGTCGAACAATTCAATGTCATCCGCATACGCGAGTAATTCGTCTAGAACAAACAGTAGAAAAATTTTTAGAAAAATAAATAAAAAAGAAGATGACAGAGCATCTGTTAAACAAGTATGATAATAATATTTGAAAATCCTATTTCGTCATCATTTATGGAAACGATTAATTAATTACCCCCTTTTTTCCATTCCTTATTTCCGTTTTAAAGGTCATTAAAATGTTGGTCGCTGTCGTTGTCATTTACGTCCTATGTTGGGGCCCCATGCTCGTCGACAACGTACTACAAGCCTACGGAATATCGAGTCACATAAGAATCGGATGGCTTAAATACATGGGAACAATTTTTCATTTGATGGCTTATTTTAACAGGTTAATCATCCCATCTTTCCATCCCCTTTGTCTTTGTCTTTGTCGTCTGCTTTTGAACGTGACGTTTATTTTAAAATTTTCAGTTGCATCAATCCAATCATTTACGGATTTATGTCGAAAAATTTTCGGGAAAGTTTTATAAAAGCACTTTGCTGTAGAGGGAATAAATCTAAAGTGACTTTACGAAGTTTTTCACTTTCCCAAACGAGAAACACGTCCATCAGATTGGCTGAATCCAGGTGACGACAACTAAAAAAAAAAAGTAAAAAAAAAATGGCGTCGCCGTGACGTCACAACAACCAACCTTTTTTTTTTTTTTTTTTAATTTAGAAATTTTTTTCCCCCAACAGTTTTGGAAGGACCGTATCGATTGCATTACCAGTTTGACGAAACGTTTCACGCGTTTAATTAATAATTTAAACAAACAAGACTGCCAATCTAAAAAAAATAAAAAATATAATATAAATAAATAAATTACATTGAACGGTGTTGTATAGGAAATAAAGTATAAGATATCAAATAAATAAAAAATAAATAAATAACCGCCTCATCATTTACATATAAGCTTTGTATGTATTTATAAAAATAATATGTATAATAAAAATTACACATATATATATATATACGTCATTTATTTATTTTTTATTATAATTCAGTGGTACCAACCTTTTTTTTTTAATCCAATCGAATTCTCCTTAATGATACCTTTCTCCCCTTTTTTTCCCCAAAATTTAAATAAATGAAACGCATCGATTGCTAAACATACGGACGGAGTAGTTTCTTACGTTAAGTTTTTTATCAGCCTTAAAAAAATTAGTGGACGAGATGGAGTTGGGAGGGGAAATGGAGGGAGGGGGGAGGGAGAGAGAGGGGAGTCAAACTTCTTGAACGTGTAACTTGACGATGAGAGAATCGTCGATCAAATACCCGTTGTTGAATATTTTATTGATCGATATGAATTGCGGGTACCCGAACGCTTTCGTGTTTATATCTCTCGCGGGTTTTTTAAACGAATCCAAATCCGGTCGGGACATTATCGTTTCCGCTATCGTCAATTTCGAATCCGTCGGATGAACTATGGCAAATTGTATTCTTCCGGTGAACGGCCAAACCAGGGTGTGATCGTGAGGCGTCTGCATTATGTGTATCAAAAGTGACAACATGTCGCTGTCGACCGGCGACAAATTTATTCTCCCGCATATTTTATAACCGTTCGGCGACGTGTAAAAACCCTCGCTGAAAAAAACTCTCTTGTCACCGGATTTCATGCTCCCGATTTTCTTCCCGAAATCGTCTATCCTCCACAAGTACTGACCGCAAGCGTGACGTAGCGACACCTCGCGTATCCTATCGTTGGATTCCTCGAGACGTCCCTTTAATTTTTCCATTTGAGCATTTTGTTCGTGACACCTTTGTTCCAAAACGACGACTCTCTCGTAGAGTGCTCTCATCAATGAAGCATTTTGACGGTCTTTACCCTTTTCCTGTGGTTCCCACATGAGTGACTCTTGAGCTAGCACGTCGTCCGACATCTTGTCGGTATTTTTTAATAATTTTTCCCTCAGATTTAAATGCGAATTCGCAACGAGATTCAAATGTAAATTCAAATCTTTTTCGAGATGGTCTTTCAATGTGTTTTCCGTTACGTCTACGTCACATCCGAACGTTCCGAACGGACAACATCCTTTTCCGTTATCCTCCGAAACCTTTTTTGACGCCCTGCTACTATGATGATGATGACTCGATACGTGTTCGTCCATTTCGCTTAATCCTATTTCTAATTTACACAATTTGCAAATCGTCGTACGATTTAATATTTCTCTCCTAGTGAAATGATCCGGAAACAAATCTAATTTTTTATTTAATATTCCACCATCGACGGGACATGATTCTCCTTTGCTTTCCAACCATAAATTTAAACAACTCGAACAAAATCTATGACCGCAAGATGTCAGAACGGGTTCTTTCAAACATGATAAACATATCGGGCATTCGAATTGACGATCCAATCCTAACATATCAGATTGTAAATTTGAATCTTGCATGTCACCGATATATCATAAAACAAAAATCTGAAAGAAAAAAAAAAAAAATAATAATAATAATAATAAAACTCCAACGTGAACACGTCATATCGAACGTTCTAGATATATACAAATAAGTAAAAACTCTCTCTATCTCTCTCACACTTTTTAATTCTATTATAAATCTTTTAATTAACTAAAAAACTTTTTGTTCTCTTTTTATCACAGGGTAAATTATTACTCTTACTCAGTCTAGGGTCACCCTCGAGGGTTACCCTCGAGTGATAAGAGAAGAAGAGAAAAAAGTCAATTTTTTTATCTCGAACAGTTTTCAAGTTGAAATTCTAATTAAAAAAATTACTCGACTAAAAAAAAAAAAAAATTCCCCCCCCCCACCCCCCCTTTATTTTAATCGACAAGTTACCCTTAAGTTATTTATATTGATTTTTCATGTTTAACTACTTTTAAACTAAAAAAAAGAGAGAGAGAGAGAGAGAGAGATTATTGTTTTCGATATGTAATAAAGAATAGAGAGAGAGAGAGAGAGAACTCGAAAAGTATCATTCGTAATAAAACACATTGTTTTAAGCTGAACACAACAACAACAACAACAACATCGACAACAACATATGAACACAAACAATGTGATTATTCGTTTAATAATGTTAATCAATGAGATAAAACAAATGAACTATGAAACATGTTTGACATTGTTTTTTTATGATCATCATTGAAGAACAATCGTTCTAGACACTTATTCGACAATTGTTTGATTTCCAAATGATTAATTTAAAAAAAAACCTTTTTTCTGTCTCGATTACGCACACAAAATTAATTTTATTATTATTTATTTCATCGAATGCAAGTTGAAACATGAAAAAATGTTTTTGTATGCAATTGTGAGTCTTTTAGTATATCATGTTTACTTTACATACTTTGAATATGGTTTATGGTATTGGTTAAAGGATTCAAGCAGAAGAAAATAAAGACACACACACACACACACACACACACACACAGACATACACACACACATACACACAAATGATACATTTAACTAATGACATAAATTGTTATCAATGAACAATTCAAGGCCCCAAACACTTTCACCTAAAGTGACATTTTTTATATATAAATACTTGCCCTGTTAACTAAATTAATCGCGGTTTTTAACGGTTAATAACGGTTTAAATCCTACACTAGATGCCAAAGTAAATGAATTACAATTGATATGAGTATAAAAAAATTCACTGGAACTGGAGAACTACATCATTCATACCAATCACAAACGTTTTGAGAATGAGTCATTCGTAACCAGAATCAAGTAACGATATAAAAAAAAACTTTACGGGAACTTTAATAATTTGATTTTTAAAACTTACTAAAAACGTTCGAAACGCTCGAAACGTTCGCGAGAATTTAAATTAAAGTCAAAAAAGAACAGTAAAAAGAGAGAAAAAAAAAAAAAAAACTCGCGGTAAACGTCAAACGGAATTTTTTTTTTTTTTTTAAATTTTCAAAGTTGGCAAAGCTTTCGAGAAAATAAACGTTCTTATTGCCAAATGTACGTAAGCTTCATAACACGTAAAAAAAAATTTAGGTTGGCTACAATGTAATTAAAAATAAAATGAAGCCGAATGGAGGTGGTTGAGTGATTGTGAACGATTTAAATCAAATGAAATTTGGATGATGATGATGATGATGTCGTCATTTAAAAACGAAATAAAAAAATTAAAAATTTTTAAAATGTACGATGCGAGTGTCATACGAGAGAAAACATTATTTAACGACAAACGATACGATGATGACATTATCGGAAAATAGCCCACCTGTTGGCAGTCATTTATATTGAAATATAATTTTTTTTTTTAATAAGGTATTATATTTTCAATTTTCGAAATCGAACATTTACCATACAACGTTTGCATGCGTCCCAATCAATCAATCAATCAATCAATCATTCTCAACCCATTCAATAAATTTATTATTAAAAAAATTTATTTTTACAGAAAGAATAATAATAATGATAAAGAAGAAGGGAGGAAGGGGCATTTGGCGTGAAAAATTAGCCAAAACATTCCTACACGAAAAAACCGTTATTATTTCATTTGTTTTTTTAATATTCGTTTTGACATTCGATCATGAATTTCGAATACTTCCCATTTCTAATCACTGCATCATATTGACAACGATAATAATTGTCGTTTTAACAACATGCGCTTGCTGTCACGGTATCAAATGGGCAATAACATCGGAAAAACCATTCGAAATATCAGATAAGCAGACGAAAATCAAACGATGCATATATGAGTGGGAAAAAAAATGGCTGACTAAAATAATACATGGTTTTTGCGATTCGTGCCAAAGTCTAGAGTACTTGACTAATTTCAACGAACAAATAAGACTGCTGGTGAAAGACATTGAAAAAAATTTCATAAAAACATGGTATTCGGAACTGAGTCAAAATCCATCGTTTTTATTCGACACTCATCTCATGCTAGAAGAAATCGTATTTAAAATAATAAAAAAATTGAAAAAAATCAATTGTAAAAATTTCCTGGCATCCATTTTACTTCTGTATTTGCACCACTTGCAAGAATATAGGAGGTCTATGAAAAAATTATCCAAATTGAAATGGGAAAGGGATTCGAAACGTGAAAACATTGATTTATCAGACGTTTGGAAATATTTACATCCGTGCAGTCAATCTGATCAAATGTTAAATTATCATTTGGAAAAATTAATTAAAGTCATATTGAAAGAATTTTCACCCAATGAATTTTCACATTCTCTACAGTGTAAAATAATCAGCGGTATAATTGCTAAAAAAGTCATGAGAAAATTTATGACAACCATAGAAGATCCCATTTGGTTAAATTTAAAATTGATTTGTTTACTAAATGAAGAAAAATATGATGGGATTCTCCAGGGTGGGATTTACGTTGTAAATGAAAAAATATTAACGAATGATGATAACGAATCGAATTTCGATAATGATAAACCCCTACAACTACTGTTGAGAAAAAGATATTTTTCATCGAATTTATTTGAAAATAAAAATTATTTTTTCGATACGAAAAATGAGAAAAACGATGGAAAGATGGCGACGATGAGTGAAGATATAATACCGACTGATAAAACTACTGAAAAAAAAACATTGACGTTGCAATTGCACAAAGATAAAGATGGCGGCGGTGGCGGTGGTGGTGGGGGGAACGACAAAAACGATACCAAAGAAAATATTTCGACGGTTTTAAGCGGTTTGATAACATCCACGGCAGGCCCTCTTTTACCCGATAATGTTTCATTTCATTATCATGCGTTAAATAAAATGTGGCAAAGTCCCGTAACGGAAGTCAAAGATATATCGGAATCGATAACGAATTCGTTAAAAAAAGTTTTTCTCAATGGCGTCAAAGAGAAGAGAGGTTTGACGAGAAGTAAATCGACGGATTCGATTATGTCAATATCGAGCGAATCGAATTTAAAAATTCGAGATATATCCGTTGGAGAAGAATTATGCGAAAGTACTACGTTGGGATCGAGCGTGGAAGAAGAAGAAGAGGGTTTGTCACCGAAAGAAAAAAAATTAACGAGAACGGAATCGTCAAACGAAAATATGATGATGATGATGATGATGACGACCGGCGATGATGATGAAATGAATGGCGATGAAATTAAACCGGAAGAAACGGAATCGAATAATAATTTAGAAGAAATAAAAGATGTCTCACCCGTGTACGAAGAACCGGAAGATTTTGCCACGACTATTGCCAAACTTCGATCCCTTCTTCAGCAACGTGAATCCAGTTCGACATTATCTGGAAAAAGTAACGCATCCATTGATTCACAATCGGGAGCGGAAAAATGTCATTCTGGGTAATTTTTTAACGTTTTTGGGGGTTCTTTTTAAAAATTATTTAAATGATCCTAACGATTTTTTTTTAAGTAACGTATCCCAATCTATGGAAGGGGATTCATTTGATTCTCAAACGACAGCTTGTGACATTCCAACGGATGGTCGACTTTTTATAAATATTTGCATACCTAAAGCGGAATTAGTGACCGATTATAAATCCCCCCACGTCGTTTACACCGTACAGGTACCAAACAAAAAACCTATTTTTTCGCTCGCGTCCAGGTACGGGAGGTAAAAATTAACGATTGATTGATTGATTTTAGTACGATGGGATTTACATGGTTAAACAAGAACAAAATCCCAACGCGGAACCCGAATTCGTACTTCAAACGACGATAATTAAAAAAAAATTTATGGATTTCCTTCATTTGCAAACGAAATTGGAAGAAAATTCAAATTTCAGGTCGATCATGAAAGGTACGTAAAGGAATAAAAGGAATTTCGTTCAGGTATGCCACGTCGCGGAAAGCAAAATAATAATAAATTTTTTTTTTGTTAAATTCAGGTATAAAAGGACCATCGAAATGGTTGAATTTGTATTCGAGTGGTAAAAGCGAAGAGGCGAGCAGGAAAGGAATGTTGGAAACTTTTCTACGTCAGATATGTTCGAACGTTGAAATATCAAATTCACCGGAAGTACACGAATTTTTAGCCTACGGACAAATTGATAATAATAATCCTTTGATAAAAAAATGTTCGGAACCTTCGGTTCAGAGAATCGATAAAGTAAATAGAGAAGAAAAAAAATATTTTTTTTGTTCGTTTCGTTAACGTTGTAGAATAATTTGTTTTTTTTTTCTTTCCCCCTCCCCTCCCCCCTTCCCCCACCTCCCTATTAGTTATTGGCGAATAAAGTGACGGGAGTTTTCAATTCGATAAAAACCGTTTTACCATCATTCGATTTTGATTCTCCAGCGTTTGTCGCGACAGGGAACGAGGCGTCGACGAAAACGTCACAGGATCAAAAAATCCTTCAGGGTTTTCTAAATTTCGGTAACAAATCGGAATCATTCGAATTGTTATTGAATTTCGTACCGAAAGAACCGACGGTAAGTTTTTTTTTTTTTTTTTTCTTTTCCTGACCGAAAAAGGATTTTTTTTTAAAATAAAAATAACCTTTTGTGAAAATTTACACACGAAAGGGTGAATCGTTAACGGATGACATAAGGCATCATTTGAACAGGACAAACGATTGCATAGAAAAAGCAGTAGACGTATTGGATTCGAACGATTGGATGTCGGATCAACGGGAATGTAGATTTATTTTTCCGGATGATGGAACGTGCGTTTGGAATAATTACAAAGAATCGATACAAGATGGTAATTGCGAGAAAATTTTCCGTTAAAATATTCGAAATGGAAAAACTTTTCTCTCTCTCTCTCTCTCTCTTACAGACGAACTCGAATCGTTGGATTCGCACATGCCGATATTAAGTTTACTCATCGATATATTGACTGAATTACTTTACGATTCCGATAGTTGGATAGTCAAAGATCCGGTCATTCGATTATTAAAAGTTATTTCCGGTCATTGGGAACGAGAAATCGAAAAAGAACTCGTACAATTGGATTGGGATAAAATATTGGGAAATTTGATAAGGTTGTTTCGACTGTCGGTATTTCAATGTTCGTCAAAGGAAACGATTCAGGTCGATTTGAACGATAGCAAAATGATTTTGGAAGATGAAATTCGTAAATTTTTACCACGTAAGAAACAAAGGAACGAGCGTTTGTGTCGAGAAAAAAAAGCAGAAGACTAACCTTTTTTTTTTTTCACCCTTTCTGGTTCCAGATTGGATAAAAGAAATATTATTACCTTGTGACGTATCACCTCTCGTATCCGCATTCGTGGGTTCTTTTCAACATTTTAAAATCAATCGGGATTTCATATTGAGATTCATGGATATCCTACTCGTCAATCTACTCTCCTGTCGTCACTTGACGAATAATAATAATAATAATAACGTTCCTCAGCTTTAATTTAAAAAAAAAAAAACAGGCAAATTAAAAACGGGTTTTTTACCATAAATAGCATTTAAAAAGCTCAAAAAAAAAAAAAAAATTAAAAATTTTTGTCGTTATGATAATGATAATGATGATTTTTTTTTCCCGCGCGCGCGAATTTATGTGATTTAAAATTTATTTATATTAATAAGAGCTTTATTAATAATAATAAGCACACTAGAGTTAATTACGTGAGAGGTAACCGGGGAGTACCCCAACGGAAAAATAGCATTTATTTATTTAATTATTATTAGATCAATAGAATACGAACAATTACGCCGGGGGGCGGGGGGAAAGAAACCAAAAATTTTTTTAGTTAAGTATTAATGATTATTTTTAAAAGGGCGTTGTTAAGATTGAACGAATTGAAAAAAAAAAAACTTACCGTCTCACGTCGTTTGTATTGGTAGTAGTATTAATGACGTCATCACGCACATTTTTACTCGTTGATAATGATGATAAGGTTTTGCGTGCGAGTGAGTAAGTATGTATGTATGCGAAAATTCGGCGAATTCCTGTTGTCGGTTTAATGTACCTGAAAAATAAAATTTAATTTTTTAATGCATTTGTATTATTATTATTATTTTTTTTTTGTAGGCGCGATTATTTTTTTTTTAAATTAGAAATGTACCCATTTATATTATTTTAAATAATAAATTTTTTTTAAATGTATTTTTTTAAATTTGATCAACCTTAATAGTTAAAAAGAATTACGTAAAAATCAAACGAGAAATGAATGATGTTATTATATGATATCCGGCCGTACCTTAAATTCTATACCTAAAATATAATACCTGATGAAATTTAAAACTCCCTCCTCCCCTCGTGATAAAAAAAAAAGTTTTTGTACCCATTAAAAATAATTTGAAATTTTTTAATAATAAATCAATCAATCAATCAATCAATCAATGATTATTTCATTATAAACATTAAATTTATTTATTTGAACTTTAACGTTATTGAGTAAAAAAAAAACATTTTAATGTACGCCGCCTAAAGGCATAATAAATAAATGAAAAAAAAAAAAAACACGAAACCTTAAATTGTACCTTAAACAGTTATTCTAAGTAAAAAAAAAGTTGTTTTTCTTGCCTAGCTTATTAATAATAATGATGATAATAATGAATTTTTCGATCACTTCATTAAAAACATTTTTTGCTAATTTTTTTTTTTTTTTAACTATTCGTGCAATCCACCATGTTTGCTAAAATTTTCCATTTACATACTTTTATCATTAAAATTAAAAATACACAAAAAGAATTTCAGGTGTGTGTGTGTGTGTATACGCGCACCCGCACGCACACACACTCGTACAGGTATATAGAATCTAATTTAAATATTTAAAAAAAAAAAAAAAAGGAAAATTATTGTTTTGTTTTTTTGCAAATTTCGTTTCGCTCAATGATTATAAAAAATAAAGGGATTGAAATATGGAAACAAAGAGAGAGAGAGAGAGATAGAGAGGAAAATCTTAACCGTTAAAAAAAAAATTTTCGCAATTATTTACACGGGAAAAATTATTTAAATGCCTTACGAACGCATCGAGTAATTTATATATTTATATATATGTAATTTAACATAAAATAATTTATTACTTTTAATAAAATAAAACTTATTTAAATTTCCGCAATCGTTAATAATTAACTATAATTTAATTGTTTCCATAATTATTATTATTATTATTATTTACGAGTCTTACATGGGATTTTCTTACATTTATAAAAAAAAAAAAAAAATGTCGGATTGCGTACGAGTTAAATAATTTTCCCTTCTCTTTTTTTTTAAACAATTTACTCAAAATTAAAAAATCGTGGGAGAAGAAAATAAATAAATAAAAATTTTTTTTAAACTAATTTTTATACCTGAAATTAAATTTTTAAAAAAAACGTGGCCACAGAAGAAAATTAAATAAATTAACAAAACATTTTATGCAAGTTCAAGTCGAAAAATTGTTTTTACTAAATCATTATCATTATCATTATCATCATCATCATTATTATCATCATTATTATTATTATTATTAATATCGATAAGTATGTATTATCGATAAGAGAGTTTAAATATTATCGCGATTGCAAAAAAATAAATAAATAAATAAATAAATAAAAATTGTCGAGATTTAATAAATCGTCGAATTAAACCTTTCGTAATTATCACTACTATCATCATTATTATTATCGTCGTCGTCGTCATCGTCATTGTCGTCACTGTCGTCATTACTATCATTATCATTATTATTATTAATTTTGTTTTTCGATCCAGCGGAAATTTTTAAGGTTTTTTTTTTTTTTTTTGCATTCCAGTTTAAACGGTTGAGACGTCATTAGCGGAATTACAAAATGGGAAATTTTTTTTTTTCGCGCAAATAAACCAGATTTAAAAAAAAAAAAACCCTGAAACGTATTATTATCATCACCATTATTATTATTATTATTATTAAATATTAATTAGGTTTGTTTTTGTTTTTGTTTTTCCACTTTTTCCAAATCGGTACAAATGACCCAAAGAGTCTGCGAAAGGTTTCGCGCGTGTGTGTGTGTTACATTTTTTTTTTTATATTTGGTCATTGTTATCGTTATCATTATTATTATTATTATGAAATACGATATAATACAATGGCAAAGGCAAACAAAAAAAAAAAATAATAATAATAATAATAATAATAATTTTACGGGTTAAAAACCATTTACGTATATATAAGCAAACAAGTTTTTTTTTTTTTTTGTCGATTTGTTAATTTCGATTATTATTATTATTATTATTATTATTATTATTATTATTATTATTATTATTATTATTATTATTATTATTATTATTATTATCGTAGCCCGAGTGTTTTATTAATTTTAATAAAATTACGTAATAAAAAATTGATACCTCTTCGAAAACGGGTATCTAAAATAAAGGAAAACACCTATTGTGATGATATTTAAAATAAAAAAAAAAACTAACCTGCAATTATTATTATTATCAGTTGTAATTATTTTAATCACGACACGCACATGCCATTTTTTTTCGTGGGAAATTCCTATAACGGATATTATCGATACCTTAAAAAAAAAAAAAAAAACATTATTATTATTATTATTATTGCAAAACCTTTTTTTTGCGTTTATATAATTTTACCACCCCATTAAATTTTTCACGGAATTAAAAAAAAAAAATTACGTAAATACGCACGCAAAGAAAATGGACGACGTGCGTTTGTGCGTGCGTGTGCGTGTGCATTTTTTTTTAAAGGCGTGAACGAACTCGAACGCGGGTGTTTTATATAAATAATAATAATAATAATAATAATAATAATAATAAAACCGGAAATGGTATTAACCTTGTTTCGAACTTTACTTGACCTCTCACAATGATTTCGATTCGAGATATCGATGCCGCCTTTTTATTTTGGATATTCAAATATCCTATTTTTCGATATTGTTTTCCTTCCTTCCTTCCCTCCCCTTTCCTCCCCTACCCTCACACACCCCCCTCGTTTTGTTGTTGTTGTTGTTTCTGTTGTTGTAAATAAAATAATAAAACTAATTAAAATATTTAATTGTTTATTGTTGTTGTTGTTGTCGTTGCCGTTTGTTATTTTATTCTTTTGCGTTTTACATCCTAATACGTTTTTCTTTTTTTTAAACAAAATTTAAAATAAAAATTATTATCATCATCATCATTATTATTATTATTATTATTATTATTATTATTATTAAATTCGATGTCGAGGCAAATTTTTCCCTTTTAAAAGATTTTATTAAAAAAAAAACATTCGAAAAAAAACAACAATTGAATATCCCTCGAATTTTTCTGCTTTGCGTTCCGCCATTTTTTTTGTAAAATCGAGTATCATTTCCGGTTTTACATTTTCCGATTTCCCCATCAGCCCTTCAAATTAATACAATTAAATGTTTGTTAATTATTATTATTATTATTGCGAATAAATAAATAAATTTACTAATTAACGGTAATTTTAATCACCGTTATCACGTGACAAAAAAAAAGCGCGAGAAGAACGTTCCTTTACTTTAAAACAAACAAAACAACAACAACAACAATCGACAACGCATCAAAAAAAAAAAAAAAAAAATTGTTGTTAACTTTTTGAAAGACCCTTTAGACAACCATAACCTAACAACATATGATTGAAATTTGCTAGAGTGGGAGATAAAACATTTTTTTTTTATTTTTTATTTTTATTTTTTTTCCAACGACGGTTTAATTCATTTAACATCGCGCGTAAATCGAAAATAATAATAATAATCGAACCGGCGGACATTTTTCTCTTTTTCGAGTTATCGATTTATCGAGTATTCGAGTTTTAAATTTAATATTTTTTTAATTACGTTTGTTTAAGTGTAAATACTCAAATGTTAACGAATTAATTAATATATATCGGTGTGTATAAAAGTGATTCGTTTTTTTACTCTATGATTTAATAATAATAATAATAATAATTATGTGACGATAAATAAATAAGTGTTTTTTTTTCAACTCGGTGATTTTAAATTAATAACACAATAGACATTTTTTTTTTTTTTTTAAGTGGAACAAAAAGAAAAAAATAATAAAAATTTGACGCATATTCAATTACATGATTCCTCAGGTAAAACAAACAAACAAACAAACGAACAAATAATAATAATAATAATAATAATAATAATAATAATAATAATAATAATAATAATAATAAATTTATTGTTAATCGCGAATTCTTTTCAAACGATTGACACGTCGGGTTAAAAACAAAAAAAAAAACCGACGGTGATAATAATAATAATAGTCAAACAATCAAAGACAATATATATAGCAAGTCGGTAAACGATAAATTCTAACGATTTTCCGACATTAGAATTTTTTTATAAATATTTATTATATAATAAATAAATAATTCGAACGTGTAAAATTATTATTATTATTATTATTATTATTATTATTATTATTATTATTATTATTATTATTATCATAGATTTATTTATTTTAAATCGAATCACGTCGTCCATTGAAAATATTATTACCGACCTCATACCTCTCGCTGCCGCCATTAACGTTATTGAAATTTATATTTAATAATAATAATAATAATGTTTCTTATTTATTATTAAATTGGTAAATGCCGGAGATTAAACAGAACGTAAAGAAAAAATAATAATAATAATAATAATAATTCGTTAATAAAATTTACATAATTTTTTAAATATGTGTGTAATATTACGTTTCGAATTGCAAAAAAATTTAATAGTTTGTAATAATATGTATTTTATATACATAATATTAACGTTAATGATTATTTAAAAACGTTTTTTATTACACTATATTAATCTCATTAAAATAATATGGAAAACCGCGAAAGAATTCAAGTTTAAAATGTCACGGATTTTTAAACGGTTTTCTCCCCCCTCCTCCCCCCCCCAATAACGTACATTTCCGTAAATAATAATAATCTTTTTTTTTTTTTTTTTATTTAGGATTATCGTTTCGAAATATATAATTAAATAATTACAAAGTATTTAAAAATGGCAACGAAGTGAAACGCGTTAATTATTATTAATATGTTTAAAATAAAAAGGAAATAATAAAAGAAAAAAAATACTCACGACGTATTCATCCTTTCACCCTCCCTCGTTCGAATGACGGTTATTGAAAATTTGAAAAAAACGAAACGATTCGATCAATTACGTCACTTCCGTTTGTAGTCACGGCGGTCTCTCTTTATAATGAAATTTCTGAACGCGCCGCATCATCATGACATTTTTCATTTCGTTATCTCAACATCTAACGATTTAATATTAATATTATATATACGATTTTTTTTTTTTTTGTGAATAATTATATGATTTATCGTTTTTTTTAAAAAAAAATTAACATGGTTTTCGTTACAATAATAATAATAATAATAATCGACAGTTAAAAACAAAAAAAAAAAAAAAAAAAAATTTTCAACAATCGAAAAAAAAAAAAAAAAACCCCCGACCGCAAACAATAAACGGGTAAGTAAATTCACGTCATTTTTTATTTAATTTAAAAAAAAAACGTAAAAAGAATATTTAATGTAATAAAATCACGTTAATCCCGACAAAGGTTTTATTTGTCTGATAATCTTTTTATGTTTTGTAACCGCGTATATCATCCCACTCGCATAAAAACTAATCTTTTTAATTTTTTTTTCGCGATAAGAATGACGAAAAAAAAAAAAAAAAAATTGTCTTATTAACGTACCGGATTCATTTTTACAATAATAATAATAATAATAATAATAAAATAATTTTTTCATTGTCGTTATCAAAACAGAAAACTAACAGAACATTTAATTTGACCGTGACACAAAGTCCAATAGTATGTAACAGAAAAAAAAAAATACGTTGGAATTATTATTATTATTATTATTATTATTTGTAATTTACACAATCGAAACATCCAATCCATCCATGTTACTTATATCAATTAGTAATTTTATCACCTGCGATAAGATTTCTAATTATTTTTTTATTTAACAAAATACTTGTTATATAAAACAATTATAACGAAACGTCGTATATCGTGTGTCGAAAATGACGAAAAGTGACGAAAAATCAAAATTATTATTATTATTATTATTATTATTATTAATACGACGGTTAGCAGAAGATAAAAAGATTTTTTTTTTTATTTCATCGGATTAATTAACTTCTAATTAATTGTTCGTAACGAACCTGTTGTGTGTGTGTCAATTAATTATTCAATTTTTTATATAAAATCAAATATGGCGTCACTCATTGTCAAACGATAGTTTTTTTTTTTATATAGAACAAAACTTTTTTCTTTTTTACGTTATTGTTTGCCGTTATTTAATAATAATAATAATGATGATGATGATAACTATAAGTTACGTAATAATATATATAATAATAATAATTAATAAATTATAATCTTACCTGAAAATAAAAAATTTGAAATGGAAAAATTTATCTCATTTATCGCATGACGATTGACTGACCAATAAAAGGGCGGGCGGGCGAGCGACCGGGTGGCGGACCGACCGTTCGTTCCTTGTCGTCTGCTAGACAAAAACCGTTTTTTTTCTTTTCGTTCTTTTTTTTTCAAAAAAAACCAAAATGGCGTCAAGTGAAATTTTGTTTCATACTTACAAGTTGAATTCGATTCGAGTTTTTCGATAGTTTTAAAATAAGTTTGAAGTTTTTCAACGCGTGGATTTGTTAATAATGTTTAAATGAATTAATATCGATTATTTTTGCGATGTTATTGAGACAAGTTTTAACAATTTTTGCATTAAATCGAATCCTTGTGTAAATTATCAAACTGTCCTTGTAGATTTGAAAGGGACAACGTTTGTTTGTTTGTTTGTTTGATGTGTAAGTATTGTCCGTCCGTTCGTTTGTCTCCCTTGAATTAAAAAAAAACATTTAACGCTTTTGTAAGTGTTATTTTCCGTAATTTTCTTGATTGCTATTAAGATAATCATGAAATATTTTTTCTCATCTTTTTTACAAATTCATATTAAATGCGAATGATGATGATGATGATGATAATTGTGATGTAGAAATGGCGGTGGGAGTAGTTATCATTTTTATTAACAATTTATTCCAAAAACCTTTAGGATGCTGAGAGGGTTATGGACCTAATTTTTACCCTGTAATTAAACGTTTAATTTATTTATTTATGTATGTTATTAAGGACTTATTAAAAATAACGTCATTGAAAATATATGATACATACATAAGGAAAGGTTATCCGTATAAAAACGGTTACATTTATTTAAATATTGATTTTTTTTTTTTTTTGTTAAATAGGTAAACTTGAAGTATTATTTTTACACACTAAAGAAGGTAAAGTGAATGACAGGTTTGTGTGTTTATTATTATTATTATTTGTTTTTTTTTTTTTTTTTAGGTTTCTCGTTCAAAATGGCGGCGAAAAAATTAAAAGGGTCAATAAATTATGAAATGATGTTTGATTTATTATGATTTTTTTAAAAAAATTGAACGTCGATTGTGTGGAGAAACTAATGAAAAAAAAAAAAAACAAGGAAATTATAGATAGGCGCCATCACCATCATCATCATCATCATGAGCATTAAACAATGGATAGCTTTGCTTATTTTATATGTTGGCTACCTGCTATTAGGTGCACTATTATTTTATTACCTTGAAAGGGGACAAGAAATTGTTAAAAGAAATGAAGATTTTCAACTTTACAAGGATCTCGTAGGTAATTTTACAATCAATCATTTCACACAAATTATTTGACAAAAAAAAAAAAAAACACCCACCCACCTCATTCATTCTTCTACCACGTCCTTTCCTTCCTACCTTTCAATGTCTTCACTTTATCGTATATGAATGACGTCATCAATCTCTTTCCTTTTTTTTGTATAAATTTTTTTTTTAGTTTTGTTAAAAAGTTATGGAGTTAATAAAACGATGGCATTAACGTTGGAAGGATATTGTGGAAGGCCGTTAACGGAAAATGCAGATATTGATGACGTATCACAAGAATATTGGACATTTTATAAATCCGTCGTTTTTGTATTGACGGTTGTCAGCACTGTCGGTACGTGTGCACCATTTTACTACTTTTCCACCGCATTAAATTCTGTAATAATTATCATTATTATCATTTGTTTTCTTATTATTATTATTATTATTTCGATAATACTTATTAATGCGTGAAATTTTTTTTACGAATTCGTCCTTGTCCCGAATTACGCGTGCGCGTTTATTTATTTATTTTCGTTAAAATAATTTTATAGGTTATGGTAACATTCATCCGACTATGCCTTTGACGAGGTACCTAATGATTATTTATGCCGTCATAGGATTACCCATCAATGGTATTCTTCTAACATCATTGGCATCGTTTTTTAGTACCGTGGTAAGGTATTTAACATCATCCCATTATTATTATTATTATTATTATTATCATTCGTTATCATCATCCTTTTCTATAAAAAAAGGTTTGAATTACGTACATTATTATTATTATTATTATTATTACTTTTTCTCTGCGGTTTAATAATACGAAACCTATAAGTTAAATAGAAAAAGAATTAAATGGTTAATCAGTGTTGCCAAAATTTGTTATTTAAAAAAAAAATAGAAAGAGAGAGAGAGAGAAAATATTTTTTTTAATACGATTCGAAAAGGCGGTTTGTAATAATAATAATAATAATAAATAACATGCTGAGATTAACTAGTTTGAATGAGGATGAAAAAAAAAAAAAAAATTATATAATTTCAAATCTGAGAGAAAAAAAATAAAAAATTAAAAGGTCAAATTAAAAATATTTCCTAGATACTCACGCATAAGGTATTAAAAAAAAAAAAAAAAAAACAATCGAAATGTATACAAACGCAACAAACGACGACAACAACAACAAAAGAAAAGTCTCACTTGTTCTCCTAAATTTATTATTTATTTGACCTTTTTTTTGTTATTGTTTTGTTTTCTTACTCTATGATTATAACACGCTTGATCGAATTTGTTTTTTTTTTCTCACTCTATGATATTAACACCTAATCGAATTTGTTTTTGTTTTAGTTTATAAGAGCTCACAAAAAATACAAAAGGTACGAATCGAGATTCGGTTTAGCCGTCGATATAATTACTTATCTCATACCTGGAATATTAGTTTTTATATTCATACCTGCAACGGCTTTTTATTATTTTGAAGAATGGACATACGAAGAATCTGTTTATTTTGCTTTCGTCACATTGACAACGATCGGTTTTGGCGATTATGTTGCGGGTAAGAAAAACAAAGAAAAAATAATGATAATGATGATGATGATGATGATGATCTTAAAAAAAATCGGTTGAGCAATAATAATAATAATAATAACTCGTTTCTATTTATTATTATTATTATTATTATTATTTATTAGATTTTTATGAATTATTTTTTTTTATAAATAATAAATTTTGAAAACAAAATGGTTGCATAAGGTGGTATTCTTTAAAATACCTGGAACCATTTTTATATGCATTTTTCTAAAAATAGATTCGATACTACCAGAAATAAAATATTATAAACGATAATAACCTGTTTTCTTTTTTTTTCTAGAAAAAAAATTTTTTTTTTACATTCCAGAACATTAAAGAAATAAATAATAATAATAATAATAATAATAAATATGTCGAACGTTTTTTTTAAAAAAAAATGGCTAATAAATCACAATGTCGGTAGTATATTAATTTTTACAAAAAAAGTTTTTTTTTTTAAAACGACGTCGTACCTTTAGACAAAAAGTCGATAACGTTTTTTTTTTTAGAAAATATTTCAATACACGCGCACGCACACGCACACGCACACACGCCTAAACTTTAAGTTTTTTTTTTTAAAAATTTATATGAAAAAATGTCGATCGTGGCAGAAGAAAGAAAATTTATATTTGTTTTGTTTTTTTATTTGTTCAAGGGCAGAAAAGTTACAAGGGATTTAATAAAGAAGCTGTGACGGCTTATAAAACTCTTTTACTCGGATGGATAATATTCGGTTTGGGATACCTTATAATGCTTTTGGGATACCTGACGAGAGCCATGAGATCTAAAAAAGTCGTCAAACTCGAGCAAAAACTCGTCGAAGCTCTCACTCGTTCGAAAATATGGCACGGTTTTACAAAAGACCTTGGTTACATGAGACGTATAATGAACGAATTGTACCTGGACAAATTCAAGGTTAAGTATACCTTTTTTTCTATCGAAACGAATTTATTTTTACCTTTCGTCAAGGTATGCGAGGGTTGTTAACCCCCTTTCCTCCCCTCCCCTCCCCTCCTCCCTCTTACGAACTTTATTAACCCGCATAAAACTCGATTGATTGACCTGGCGATGATAATACCTGAAATAATCAGGTACTACAAAACTACAACTCATCATCACTCGACCCGGATCAACAATTAAAATTTTTTTTTTTTTTTCGCAATAATAAAATTACAACGCGAAAAAACTTTCAAGGTTCAAATGACGACATTTTTTTCCCCTCTCTTTTCCGTACCTGAATTATTATTATTTTTTTTTTAACACGTTTTTATAAACCTTCGGATTTTTAAATACCTGAAATTAATTAATTGATCGATAAATTCGTTTAATTAACGTTAATTATTTTTTTGCTTTTGTTGATACTCGACTACCGACCGGGTACTTCGAATCACGTGGAATACCTAACACATTTTTTACATTACAGCCCGTGTTCAGAGACGAACAACTCAGATTTCATAGGAAACACGCATTTCGAAGGAGCAAAAGTCTACCCAATATAATATTCGGAGTGGATGACGAAGAACTTTTCGAAGATGATAAAATAATAACGAAAAGGAAAAGAGCACAATCGGAATTTATACCTTGCAGAGAAGGTTTAACGAGAGTTTTTAGCGAAAGTGATCTTCATAGGATTGATAGACATGCGACATTTGCATCTGCCACGGCTATCCGCCCCTCGGAATTATTGCGACAAGTTGTCGGTGCTATGGAAGGTCATTGTTTGTTTGTTTGTTTGTTTGCCAACATTGTAATTATGTAAAAAGTCAAAAAATTCTTTTTTCGTTTTCCTTTTGTTCGACATTTTTTTTCTTAAAAACCGCACAATCGTAAGTGAAACATTTAACGAAAAAGGTTCTTTTTATTATTATTATTATTATTACTTTTACAAATGAAATTTCGTCACTGGGGCAATGCCAACACTTTCTCTTCGAATTACAAATTACGAAACAATAATAATAATAATAATTGTTAAAATAATTACTCATCGTTATCATTATTATTATTTTTAGATTCGATTATTGGGAAACAAGACGATTCGATGGGTATCAACGTTTTTTCTGACGATGAAATTTTAGAAAGCGAAGGTTGGTTCGAGGAAAAAGAAAATTCATTCGCATCCGAACTCTATCAACCGCCATCTTCTTACGAAGTAATTAAAATTCGATTTTTTTTTCGATTTTTTTCGATTATCGAACGATTAAATTGATGATGATGATGATGATAATTTTTAAGGACTTATCGACGAGTGGAAACAATAGAGAAAGAGCATTGAGCGAATTACCCGTATCGAGAAGTACACCTCATACCATAACCGGTGCAGCAGGAAGTAACGTACGAGGTTCCGATTGGACTTGGTCGGGAACTGGAGCCACGAAAATTTTCAACATAGTAAACGAACATCATAAAAGGTACGCAAAAAAAAAGGTTTCAGGTACGTAGAGGACCCCTCAGAAATAATAATTATTTTACATTTTCAGCTTACAACGTAAAACGTTAAAAAATCAAAGTTTAAATCATTCACCCTCGTTTTTGAGTAGTGGAAAATGGTTGACTCCATCGAGAAGAAAACGTTTGTGTAGCGAAAACGAAGATGGCGGCGGATCGAAATTAAACGTCGTGCAAAATCCGGAAATTAAATTTTTAGACGTTGGTAGTAATGAGTTTATGAAACAAAACGAACATAGAAAAACGAGTTTGTTTGAATGTGGTGGTGGTGGTGGTGGTGCGGGGGCGGTGGGGCCTACTATTAATAAATACAGTTCGGATTTATCTTACATGACTCACACGGCCGGAACCGGAACTAAAGGTTTAGGTTTAATGCACGGTAAAATGAATTTGATGAAAGTGGATGAAAATTACGCGAATCGAACATGGGACCTATTCAAAAAAACAAACGATGAAAATTTATTAAACGAAACATCTTTGGGTGATTTTTTGAGGGCGTTGACGAGTCTACACAACAGGGTCGGACCCAGGCAAAATTACGACGAATGGAATAATCCCACACCTTCTCCTCCTCCTCCTCCTCCGCAAAGTCATTCACTCATTGATTTATCTCCCACGTCTGAAACCATACCCGCAAGACTGAACACGTTTACGCAAAGTTCACTTAACAGAACGGAATCCATGCCGATACCCGTGGAAAAAGAACCCTACAATTTAAAAAAATTGGGTAGATTTTTATTAAGGAGTTATTCGTCAAAATCCGAATCAAATCCCGACGTGTCTTACACTCAAACGGATGATGATAACGTCGTAATACCATCCGTACGAATAGAAATATCATCACCACCGGAAACGGAAGAATTTTCTCAACCGCCGGAAGTTATAACGAGATCGAACACTCTGGATTCGACAATGAAATTAAAAAGAAGACAATCGATTAACGTTTTCGGTAATAATCCGTTTAGATCAGCGGGAAGCACGGAATCCGTTTATCATTCGATCGGAAGTAAAGGTTGGCCACCATCCTCATCATCATCATCTCCATTAAGACAATCGAGTATAAGATGGCGAACGGGTGGAAAAGCTCAAGGAGAAACTTGTTCATCGAAACCGAGTTTAAGTAACGTCAAAGAAGTTAATAATAATTAATGTATATAAAAAAAAGAACCTGAAATTTTCAATTATTTCGACTTTATCAACGCACACGCACACACACGCATTAAATAAATAATAATAATGATTTTTTACGTATTTTTGTCTATGTTGTTGTCAAGGTCATCGAGAAAAACCGTCCGTCCGTCCGTCTGTCCGTCCTGATATTTCATAACTTCCTCGTATTCGTTTTAAGGTTCAATTTTCCGTTAGATATCCTTAACCTTCAACATTATCGACATTAAATATTTAAATATAAACGTTAGAATTTATCGATTGGAAATTTCCAGGTACGCTCGAACCGACATAAACAATTTACCGGTATTATTATTATTATTATTATTTTTCCTTCTTCATCAAGATAATAATAATAATAATAAACAAACGTTGACCCTAACCGTACGTTTTAATTAACCTTTAAGATTTTTATGTTTCTTATTCATTACTAATTGATTATGATGATGATGATGATGATGATGATAATGATAATGAATTTTAAACAAAGTAAAAAAGTGAATATTTATTTTCATTTACTGTTATCATTCTCTTATCACTTGCTCAACCATATTTTTTCAACCACCTACATAAGGTAGATGGGTATCATTCGAATAGTGATAAGAAATCCGACAGGAAATGAATGATAAATAATTACTTATTTACTGTTTTGGGGGGGGGGGGCGCGGGGGGTGATTCGACGTGAATTATAGGTTTTAAAACGCACCTGTAATTATTTTTGTATATGACGGGAGAATCCTTTTTCGATTTTAACACGTTCAAACCTGGTTTCAAACTGGCAAACGGATTCGTTTTAAATTCTTCTAAAAACAATAAATTTGAAAATTGTTTTTTCAACTTTTTCAAATCATTTTGTAATTCTTCGTCCGTGTATTCGGTTATGAGTATCGGCGATGAATTTTCGTTAAATAATCTCCGTATCGTTTCCTTCCACGAATCCACATTTCCGTAACCGAAATCCCTGAAAATAATAATAATAATAATAATAATATATAAATAACTATATTTAAATATTTGTTTGTTTGTTTTTACGTAATTTTTTTTTGCTTAAAATGCACAATAAAATAATTTTTTAATTTTTCCTTATCTACGTAGACGTAGGTGCAAGGTTAATATATTATCTATCCGGTCATAATAAAGTCGTTAACATGTCCACACGGGTCACCGGTTACGCACACACACACACACACACACAGTATAAACAAATAAAACAAAATAAAAAAGTAAATGCGAACGTTCAAAGTCAAAAAAAAAAAAAAAATGTAAGTCGAAAAAAAAATTAATTAAATAACATAATAATTCAAATGTCAATAATTAATCAATAAACCGATAAGATAAATCAATATTAAAATAATTTTTTTTTAAATTGCAAATAAAATGTTTCATAAATGTTACGAAACAATTTATTTATTAATTATTATTAAATTGTTATGTAAATAAATAATTATTTATAAATTATTTACGTAACTTAAATAAAATTTAAAGAGAGAAAAAAAAAAAAAAAACGTTACGCGTACATGTTGCAGTCAAAGTGTTCTATTATAAACCGTTAAAAAGAATGTCGTGACGTAGAATTCGATTTTTCAAAATGGCGTAAGAATAAACGATTCTGATTGGTCGGAAGTCGGCTATAAATGTTTCGCTTATGTTTATCTTATGGAATCGTCATTTATTTAAAATTTTCGAGAACGATTTGAATTTTTTTCCCGCATTCGATTTAAATTCGCGAACGAAATGGAAAAAAAAAAAAAAAAAAAAAAACGAATTTTGGAATCTTTTTTATTATGAATTCCTGGAGAATTAAAAATATTATTATTATTAATTTAGTTTTTATATAAATCTTATCATTTTATCATTGAAATTAATAAAAGTATTCTACTGGAAGAAAAATGGGCGCGTTTTAAAATCAAGAATTCTCCAGGCGTTAAATTTTTGAATTTGTTCGATTCGTTAACGGTCGATAAACGTTATGAACGCGTAATGTTTTTTCAAAAGTGTCAAAATTATTACATTTTCGATTAAGTTAATTTTCATCTTTTGAAAATTAACAAAATAAAAACATATTACAAAATGTCTGCCACGAATTACGAGGTTAAAACAAAGAAAATTTGAAACAAAAAACTCCAACCTGTACATTCCAGAATTGAAAGCACATATCAAATCAATATCAACGATAGGACGATTTGGTAAATATTCATGATAGAATTTTCCAGAAACAAATTCGTTAATTATTTTCTTATTATTCGACCTATTAAAAAAGCAAACAATTTTATTTCTATCTCTCTCTCTCTCTCTCTCTGAATAATTTTTTAAAGATGGAGTCTTACCTGCAATCTTTACATAATTTCAAATTCGTTAATTTTTTATCATTTTCGATAAATAATTCAGGTCCTAAAAAAATTAAATGTAATTCTTTAACGTTCTTCGGTAAATAATGTAATAAATAATATTCTCATTTATCGATAGGTTCGATTTCCGATTGATTTTCCGAACCTATAAATAATATTTTCATTTTATCATTATTATTATTATTGATAATGGAGGATTCGATAACGTTTAAAACGGTTAATGGATACGTTATAAAATCCGAAATCCAAAATTTTATAAAATCAATCGATTCAACGTTTGTTTTATCATCATTATCATTATTAATTTTATTCAAATCTTCGTTTAATAATTCATTCATCGACTTATACGATTTTTTATTTATTATCGATTTCGTTTTGAGAAACTTCTCGAAATTTAAATTTGGTTTTTCACACACGGATAACTCGTAATATAATTTTAATTGTTGACACCATTTTCCGTGATGATTTTTATTAAAATGTTTTTTTTCTTTACACGTGAATATAAATTTACATTTGTCGCACGGTTCGAGTTTATCGAAATCGAATTCGTGGCAGAAATCGCACATCTGGAAAATAAATAAATTAATGACACGTTTTTTTCCCAAATGTCGTCACACCATCATCATCGTAGAGAAATTGATTTGGTTTTTTAATTAATTTACCCTCGGATGATAAATCATTTCCAATTCCCAACATAATAAATTTCTTTCGAGTATTTCCATTAATTGACCGGCCACGTTGTTTTTCACGTGTATGAAATCTTCTCCATTTCCGTACAATTGACACAAATTCGTTACGTTTTTATATTTGCAAATTTTATTCACCGCCCAACACGTTTTGCTATGATAAAACCAATCCTGACGACGGTGTTTAATTGAACAATAAAAAACTAATTTACATATTAGACACGTGTATTTAGTTACTGGAGATTTACACACGTGGCAAACGTTTGCCAAATAATATATCCTTTTATTTTTTTCCGACATTTTACCTTACGATTATATAACAATAATTTTTTTTATTATCGCGATGGGAAATCGAAAACAATAAAATATTTTTAAACCTGCGCTGCATCAAGAGAAAACAATATGGCAATTGTCCAACGTTATCACTAATGCCAAAAAAAACACTTGAAGATGATTATTATTAGTATTATTACTATTATTATTTTTACAATGCATTTATTGCCAAAAAAATTTTTTCTAAAGTGTATAAGGTTAGTTAAGCTCTTCGAAGCGTGACGTTCTTTAACCAATTTGTGAACCTTTGACGACGCCTAATTTTTATCAAGTTATGCTTTTTGTCGTACAGTCAAGTCTTAAAAATAACATATCGTTTTATTATCAATTTCTAAAAAATAAAATGACATTAATATTATTATTATTATTATTTGTTTATTAAAAAAAAAAAAACAGTTTCGTACTCGTTAGATTAAATAATAGTAACTGAAAAAAAAAAACAAACATTAAAAATTAAAAAAAAAAAAAAAAAAAGAATCCTGATTTGACGAGACCATCAACTTTTCTTCTTAGTCTTCTTACACGAACTCGGAGAACAAATACAAAAAAAAAAAAAAAAAAAAAAAAACGATCGAAATTTTTTTTAAATGTAATCATCACACTTTTTAAACACTTGAGCTGGCTGACTGATTGACGTCTTTAAAATTGACGTGGCAAAAGTAAAAAAGCACGACTCACGCACTCACGCACTCGTACACACGCACACAAGCTCATCCGTCGAATCCCTTTCTCATAAATTACATGAAAACCGATAAAAACATTAACCGCTGTTGGTTGATTGGTTGTTTAATTTTTGGATTGCGTGAATATTTATGACGTCATCATGAAATTGAAGTGTCATTTAAAAACGACCGAATCCAACATGGCTCCTAAACACTGTACAATGTTCGTCGTCATTAACGTATCGACTTTTTCTTCCAAATGTCGTTTAGGATCTTGTTTACCGACGTTTTTAATTGCTAACTGCTCCGGAGTCATTTTTTCTTCTTCTTCGAGTGCCTACAAAATTTTTTAAAAATTTGCTATCGATTCACAATGTCATCGAATCCAATTTGTTTTTTAAATCGAAAGTTACCTTGTTGTAATTTTTAGCAAGATCCAACATATCCGAACATGTGGTTTCATTTAATTTGCAATGCTCTGCATAATCTGCAAGCATGAGACCATCCATCCACGATTTCTTATGTAAATTTAACAGCATTTTTTGCTCCAATTCATTTTTTCTATAATTAATACTTATGGAGTAATAATGTCTGTTTAGCCCATGTATAAGCGCTTGAACTGATGGTTTTTGTAAATGTCCTAAATTCGATGTTGTTTGCCTAGGTTCTTGTCCCAAAACCATCATGTTCGGATTTATTAATCGAAATGCATCTATTACCACTTTACCTATGATAAATACAATCGAATTACAATCGGATGAAATAACGAGCGTGTATGCATTCATCATATAGAAAATTACCCTTAACGCTTTGAATTGGATCGACAACAACAGCAACAGCTCTTTCAGACAATGCTTCAAAACTTTGTTGAGTATTTATATCGACACCGGAGAGCCAACACCCAAATCCTGGATGAGAATGATACCATCCTACAACCATTTCAGGTCTTCCCGTTTGTTTTAACATATCCAACATTTTAGCCTGGATTTTTTTCAATTAAAAACAATATTTTACAAAATGGCGTACATTTTTTAGAAATTACATTATTTGAAATAAGTATTGCATCAATAACCCTACCTGGAAAACGGGATCCACTGCTTCAACACTCACTCCGGTACCTGTTTGAGGCATAGCAAATACATCGATGACACGAACGGTGTAATCATCGACAAATTCACCCAACATTAAACCCATAACCTCCATCGGAACACCCGCACGTCCGTGTTTTAACATTTTTAATAAAGCTAATGATGATATGTAAACCTGTTCCGCGGTATCCACGACAGGAGCATCATTTTGCGGAGAAGTTTGACTTAATCCGGGCATTCCCCCACCCAACCTTAATAACCGATCCATTTCCCTACGTACTATTTAATTATCCTTTTTTTTAAAAAAAATATATATATGTATATAACTACGATCAAAATAACATTCCCTAACAGGAGACAAATTTGCTATATCACCCACCGCTTGGTTGCGTTAAATGCCACGATTAAAAATTGTCGTGTCATTAGTTTAATACCTCCGTGATTTAAAAAAACCCTTTTAAATATATTATCGAAGTTACATGTTTATTGTAATTTATTATTTCAATGACCGTTGATACACAAAATGATGATCACAAACAAAATAAATTATTATTCGGTGGTGGACCATTGGGTTTCGGTATGAAACTTTTTTTTTTTTAACTTTATACACTTGCACACACACACAAATCGAACTAATTATTATTATTATTATGTAGGAGACCCAGATGATGATAGGTTAAGAATAGTTGAAAAAAATGTATTAATACCTAAAAAATTAAGAGAAGAAGCAATTAGAAAGTGTAAAGATGTAGTCGAACCTTTTGTTGAATGTTGTCAAAATTCTGGATTGTTAAACATATTCAAATGTAGAAAAGAAAATCAATTACAGCTGGAATGTATTAAAAGTTGGATGGATAATGAAGAATTCAAAGATGAAATCACAAAACAGTATTTGGAAGAAAGAAAATTTTATAGAACAACTGGTAAAAAATATGAATCGCAATGAGACATCAATCAAACAACACATTGATTACGATTAAACGAGGGGGATAATGTAATTCCTGATTTCAAGTTAATCTCGACTAAAAAAAAACCGAAATCAACTTGCATAATTATTGTTTTAATGTAGTATATATGATTAATTTAAATTATTTATTAATGCGTGTACATGTTTACATTATGTAAATTAATAATAATAATAATAAAAACTGTTATACGTAAGTAAGAATTTTTTTTATTTTTAAATTTTATCGATTACCAATCAAACAAACAAAATCGAATACATCCCCTCGTTTAATTTAACAAAAGTTATTTGATTATGTTTGTACATATGTGAAAGACAACAAACATAATTTAATAAAATTTTATGTACCTGATTATGTTTTCAAATAAATTTTAACACCATCAATCGAAAATAAATCTTTCGAATAAAGAAAAATTAATAAATTTACAGTTAGTAAATTATATTATAGCTAGTTTAGGGGAAAAAATTGTTAGTTTAATGAAACAAACATAATAATAATAAGTAATAATAATAATAATTAAAAAGATAAAGAAAAAAAACTTATTATTAAATAATAATATTAAATATATATATATAAAATAAACAATTGTTAATGCAAGTTGAGTTCATAACCGGAAATTGATCTTTGATCTTCCGAATGATGATGATGATGATGTTTAGAACTTTATTCAGATAAAAAAAAAAAAAAAAAAATTCGTATTTATAATAATAATAATCAGTAGAATATTAATATTCTCGTTGTTCGGAGTTGTGATGCGATTTTAAAAAAATTTCTTTTTTTTTTTTTTTTTTTTAATTATTGAGAATTAATTTGATTAAAAATTTTTTTTCTTTTTTGTACCTGTTCGAGACTAGTCAGCCATTTTAAAAAAAAACATTTAATAATTTTTTTTTTTTTCATTAAAGAATAATAATTAATTTTGTTTTTTCTTTTTTTTAAAAAAAAAAAAATTTTAAATTTTTGAATGATCTTTAATAAAGTAAGTATTGATTATTATTATTATAAAATTTAATAAAAAAAAAATTGTATGAATGAAATTTTTAACAAATTGTGATGAGAAAAGAGAAATTTTTTTGTTTTAAACAATTACATTGGGAAAAAATTAGGTAATGATATAATAATGATAATTGTTTTAAATAAGAATATATAAATAGATTAAAAGGCTAAGAAAAGAAAAGAAAAAAAAAAAATTGAGGGCCTAATTTAATTCAACCTTGTAAAGACCAAAGCAAAATAAGATAAAATAAAACGTTATCTCGTTTCGTCTTGTAAATAAAATAAATCATCCGAATCGTTACAGTGAATCATTTTTTCTTATTATTTATGTGCGTATTAACACGCACGCACGCATTTTAATTATATAAATAAATAATTAAATGATATAATTACCGTTTCAGAATAAGTTGACGAGAAATATAAAAAAGTCGAACATGTCGGCTGTACCCCAGGGAGCATTTGCAACGATTAAAATAAAACAAAATATTATGAAAACAACCGGAATTGAATTCACTGACACGAATAAAGATGAAAAATATTTAAATTATTTCATAACAAATGATTCCAGTAAGTTATTATTTAACTTAAAATTTAACTTTTTATTTTAAATTTAATTATTTTAACAAAAAAAAAAAAAAACCGTTTTTTCGACTATTCCAACTACGTCACGATTACGTCACGAGAAACACGAAAACGTCGTGATTGGTTCTTCTCTTTACCGCCACGTTAATTTCGACCAATTAAAAATTAATTATTAATTATTAATTATTAATTAAAAATTAAAATTTGATAACGATTTCTTATCAAATATTATCGGTCGCGTGAAAAAAATTTTTATTTTTTAATTTTTGTCTTTTTTTTTTTAATACGAACGCAAAAATAATGGTTATTAATAAAAAACATTTGAAAAAATATTGTGGTGATCCGATGACGTCATCATAATCACGGTACGAAAATTTTGAATTTAACGGTTTTTCGTTTCGAATCGAACGTTATCCGTTGACATTACAAACAAAAGAACGTCGTCGTCGTAGGAATTGATTTTTTATATTTAAATAATAATAATAATGTTTTCTTTTTTATTTTCGGTCGCGATAACGATTAAAACGGTTACAAAAAATAATAATAATCATATGATTTTAACAAGAGGGCAAATACTTTTCTCTCTCTCTCACTCTCTCATTTCGTCTATATTAAGTGACCCTTTAACTTAAAACAAACAAACAAACAAACAAACAAACAACAAACAAGAGAAATGCGCAGAATCTAAAATAATTTTTTTTTTTTTTATATATAGACTTTGAGCATCCACTCCTTAAATACAACAGTAAATTAATGAACAGCATTTGGGGATTATATAATCGTTACTCCGTTCATAATTTTAAAAAAAATGTCGCTTCTGGAAATTTCGGAGTCTACGAAAATCATCACCACCACAGATTGTGAATAAATTAAATTAAAAATATTTAGAAAAAATATAAACGGACGTTTTTTAAATATAAAAAATATTTACTTACTTTTTTTCTTTTTCTTTATACAAAATCATTTACATTCACTTAATTCCTATCCGAAACAATAACAATAATAATAATAATAATAATAGTACGGCAGAGATTGATTTAAAACAAATCATTGATAATAATCGGATGAATCCGCCAGCATTTTTGAAAAATGTGAATTTGAATTTTTCATTAATAATTTCGGATTATCGAATTCTATTATCTGTAACATAAAACAAAACAAAACGTAAATTTTCCAACATTATTATTATTATCATCACGTTCTTAATTTTTTTTGTTTTTTCCGTTCTCACCGTTCCACGTTCGATGACGAGAATTCTATCGCAATTTGTAACGGTCGACAATCTGTGTGCTATTATCAACACAGTGCAATTTTTAAATTCTTCTTGCATTGCATTTTGCACGGCCGTTTCCGTTTCCGGATCTATCGATGCCGTCGCTTCGTCTAAAACCACGATCTGTTTTTAAAGAAAAACAAACAAACGAATAAGAACGAAATTTTGGACATACGATTCCATCGCCATTTTTAAAAGAAAAAGAAGAAAATTACTTTAGAACCACGAAGAAGTACACGTGCAAGACACACCAATTGTTTTTCACCCAGTGAAAGACCTTCGCCATCTTCGACGTACGTCGATAATTTATTCGTCATCGATTTGATTTTCGTCGAAAGTCTCGTTTTATTTAATATCCCGAATATTTTCTCATCGTCGTATTGTCCCAAAGGATCTAAATTCGCTCTGAAACACGGAAATCGATTTTAATACAACAACAACAACAGCAACAGGAAAATCCCGCAAAGTCGTGCAATATACCAAACCTTAAACTTCCGGAAAAAAGTACGGGATCCTGAGGGATGACCGACAATCTACTTCTCAGTGTGAATAACGATATTTTCGAAATGTCTATTCCGTCAATGAAAATATTACCGGAAGATAATTCGACGAGTCGAAACAATGCGGATACCAGTGAACTTTTTCCCGCTCCCGTTCTTCCCACGATTCCTGTTAAATTTGATAATTTTTTTTTTTTTTTAAATCCTTCAGGAAATCATTATTATTATTATTATTAATTTAAGTATCTCCTCACCGATTTTTTCACCACCGGATAAAACAAACGAAATATCGTGAAGAACATCCGGTAAATTCGTACCGTAATTTAATTTAACATTTTTAAATTCTATCAAACCTTTCGATGGCCAATCTGATTCCACGTTTATTTTACACGATGAATTTTCTTCGTCCTTTAATTTCTTTAAAAAAACAAACAAACAAACAAACAAACAATAAAGAAAAAAACGTTTGTTTCGTTTAAGAAAAAAATGATAATAATGATAATGAAACGAACATCGATGGCGTTTTGTATTCTTTCGACGGATATAAAACGAGCCTCATTTTCCGATATCAATCGTATCGTGTACTGGAAAACTCCACAGATTTGTGCGGCATACGTGAGAGCCAAACCAGCATATGCTGGAGCAACTTCTCCTTTGAGTAAAGCCACCAAAAAAGACGTTATGAAACTTATCAGAACTGGAAAACAAAAAAAAAACCGTTTTAACCTCTTTCACTGGAGAAGAAGAAAATAAAATTTTATCAAACCTGATATAAAATCCAATCTCACTGCTATCCATCTCATGGCGTTGTTTGATAAAAAAAAAACGGTCGAATTGTGATCGAACAATTTACAAAACCTGATAAACAAATTAAAAATAAAAAAATGAAATCCTTTCGTTTTTCCGCCATTTTGATTATTATTTAACCAATCACACGTGTCAACTCACTCTTTTAAATAATTCGATTCTTTATTGAATGCGTGAATAACCGACAAACCCTGTACGGTGGCTGATATGGAACTGAAAACCGGTGCTCTCGATATGTTTTCCATTCTTTTAAGATCTCTTATGGCGACCCTAAAAAAAAAAAAGAAATAAACAAAAAAAAAATCCTCCCTTCGAATCCCTGATTGTTTATTTACCTTAAAAAAACTTACCTAAATATTTTACTGACGAAATAATAGAGTCCAGTTAATACGATCAATGGAAAAACAAACCACGGGAAAACAAGCGTGATTGATAAAAAAGAAAATGCGACGGACCAAATATTTTGCAACATTGTTTCCATTGATTCCGGCAATCTCGAATCGACTTGATAATGAAAAAAAAATGGACGATATTAAAAGGAAAATTTTTTTTCCCTTACCCCACAACACACCCCCAACCCTCCCCTTCTTACTTTCATCCATGTCTTTTGAAAATAAATTTTGTATTATCCCAATGGACGTCCTTTCGAAATAACTCATTGGACTGTGTAGAATTTTTTGAAATAGTTTCCGGTGTAAAACATCCGATGCTCGAATCGTTATTTTTATATAAACGAATCCTCTCGCGATGCAAGTCAACACTATGAGTCCGATTATGGACGCGTAGGTTTTCATGTAAAAATAAAGATCCGGATTATCGTTTATGTTTTTGCTTATGATTGTTTCGTTTGTTGACGGATCCGTGATCGTCGTGTTCTGCAAAAAAACAAACAAATTCAAAACGTTAAGTGAATCCCGGTGGGATTTTAAAAAAATTGTTTATCGTTTGTAACTCACTCCACTTCCGGCTTTTATCCACATTGCCAACCACCAAGAACTAAAAACGTTACTTCCGACATTGAGTAGAATAATTAAAAAAACCAAAAGGCAAACGACGTAACCCCCCGCGGCGGATATGTATGCGTGATATGCTGTTGCTTTTATCGTACCACGAATTTGTTCTTCTCCTCCTTCCGTTTGTTGTTGTAATTTTTTCCCTCTTGTTTTACCACTTTGGATTTTATCATCATTTTCCGATTTTTCACGAGCGTCATCTTGATTTTTCATTATTTCGTGCTTTCTGCAAATTCGTTCCCAAATAAATTTTAAGTTAAAAAATTAAATTTCTCGTGGATTTGGAGCAAGTGCCTTACTTTCTCGGAGAAATCAACGATCCCGACAGCATTATTTGGGTAAAATTTTCACCCTTTTCGACGAGTTCGTCGTAACTACCCCTTTCCACAATCGTTCCACCTTTCAAAACGACGATTTCGTCGCACTTTTGCAAAAATTGTATTTGTCGCGTGACTAAAACGACCGTTTTGTCTTTCAAATTTTCCAGAACGTATTTTTCAAATATTTGCGATGCGACCGATGGATCCACGGCGCTCAAAGGATCATCCAGTAAATAAATATCCCTGAAAAAAGGGAAAACGATCTAATGAGTACACAAGTTTTCTTTTGTCACAAATGAAAATTAAAAAAAAAAAAAAAAAAAAAAAACCTGTCGGAATATAAAGCTCGAGCAAGTGAAATCCTTTGCTTTTGTCCACCGGATAAATTAGCACCGCGTTCTTCTATTTCCGTTTCGTCGCCATCGGGTAATAAATTTATATCCTTGTTTAAAACGCAAGCGTTCAACACGTTCGAATACCTACAAAATCGAAATCAATTTGTTTCTGTAATACGAATCCAATTTTTATAAACAAAAAAAACAAAAAAAAAAGCTCACGGCGTTCGACATTATTTAATTACTTTTTCGATTCGTATTTTTCTCCAAATAAAATATTTTCTTTTAAACTGACACTTTCCACCCACGATTGCTGACTCACGTAAGCACAATTTCCACGCCTTGATATTTTACCGGAAATCATTTTCAATTGTCCCAAACAAGCGAGAAGAAGGGATGATTTACCAGAACCCACGGATCCGCAAACTCCCACCAACGAACCCTGCAACGAAAAACAAAACAAAATTTTTTTAACAAAGAATCGATCGATCGATCGAGGTATCGATATATCGAATGATGTATGTACCTTAGCAACGGTGAAATTAATGTTATTTAAAACTCGACGACTACTTTCATCGGTTTCCCTTTCCGTTATTTTAACTTTATCACCCTTTTTTGGTTTTTTCTTATTTTTTAAATGTTCAGAATCTAAAAATACGTTGTCCCAACGGTAAAAACCATCCCTTATCGACAGAGCAATCCCATCATCCGATGGTGGGGATATTTTTGCAAAATTTTCTTCCAAAACGAGAACTTCCTAAAAAAAAATATAATTTCCAATATAATTAACATATCGATAATTTGTACAAAACAAAAAATAATAATAATAATGATAAGACAAAAAAAAAAAAAAAAGCAGCTCAAACATTAAGAAAAGCGTTGAAAATAATAATAATAATTTTGGCAATGAAAAAGAAAATGATAAAAGAACAAAAGCAAAAACAAACGAAAGCAAACCAAAAAAAAAAAAAAAAAGATTGATTAATTCTTACCTTTATAAAAAAAAACGAGCAAATATATATTTTTAACAAGACAACAACAACAACAACAACAAACAGAGAGAGAGAGAGAAAGAGAGAGAGAGCAACAAACTCTTTCCATCATGATAAGCTCGTAGACGATAAGAGAAAATAAATAAAACAAAACGGAAAAAGAAAAATTTTTTTTTTTTTTTTAGTTTCCTTCACCGTACACGATGCACAATAAAAAAAAAAAAAAAATTCAGGCTCGAACGACAGGTTTTATTTATATTTTTTTTTTAATTTTTGAACCTTAAATCTCTGGCATATTATTGGACCTTGTAAAAAACTATCACTTCCGTATCTCATGTTTTGCAATGCCGTTCTAAGTTGCGTATGAAGTATAACCATAACCGAATATACCTGAAACGATATACATGGATTTTTTCTTTTTTTTTCTCCAATTTTCTTTCTTTCAGGTGCCCTCCTCGTGACGTCATAAACGTTTACGTCATCATCTTGGTAAAAACAAAAAATTAAATTCCTCGTAAAATGTGCATGATTAATTTTAACCGATTTTACGATGTGTAATGTGAATAATATGCGTTATGACCGTGAATTGTGTGTTACGCACCCACACACCTAACCTCACCCTTTGTTATGATGGTGACACCTCAAAAATTTCCTACAAAAAAAAAATAAAAATTGAAATAATTGCTCTCGTCTACCCCTTCTAGAAAAACCAATGATGATCCCTCATGTCAAAGTTAATAATTTTTTTAAAGAAATGTATTATTATTATTATGACGATAACTTCTGCGATGAAAATAATAATAATAATAATAATAAACTGATAGAATAAACCTTAAACCTCGTCAACGTTGTCAATCCTTGAACGATCGAAACAGATCCCATTTGTAAATGAGTCAAGGTCAATCGGAGTACCTTTGACCCAAATGCTGATACTGAAAAAGCCTACAGAATAATAATAATAATTATTATTATTAGTGTGCAACAAAATTAAATTTTAGCGTCGTGAGGCTTCGATACAAAATGATTTCTAGCTTGAATAAATTTAAACACAAATATGTGGATATTTAAACTAAATTAAACTATTAAGGTTTGAATTTTCAAACTTGTATAAGCAGCATTCTCTAAGCCTTTTGTAACCTAAAATAACCTTGAACCTTTGTACGGATATGAATCCTTCGTAAAAGGCTAAACCTCCATCTCTAATCACTTGTATTGATGTCTTCATTTGTTTCGTCATAAAAACCAATACCGAAAATGCCTAAATCAAGAATTAACAGGGAAAATATGAAAAAAAAAACTTTACGAAGATGAAAGGAAGGCCATGGTAGATATACAAAATGGCGATTCCCCCCCCTTTTTTTTTTTTACCTGTGCGGCCGTTAAATTTCCACCGGTTATGACGTGTATTAAAAATGTCGTTATACCGGATATAACAGGTACGGTGGGTGCAAGTGATATTCCAACACTTTGACAATAAGCTATTTTTTCAATTTCTTTCAATTCTTTTTTTCTTATATCTAAAATCAGAAAAAAAAAACGTTACATCGGTCTTTCGCTTATTGCAAAATGGAGATGTGAAAGGAAAATTTGTGAGACGCATACCGTGAACCTGAGATGCAAACCAATTTTCCCATGCATACATTTTAATCAATTTTATACTTGTGAGTATTTCTGTAACAAGTTTTATTCTCTTATCCGAATTTGTAACCGCCTTTAATCTGTAGTATCCGGTCAAATGAGAAAGCAAATACTGTAATCATCAAGTTTGTTTCGTTAGCTTTTATCAAATCTCACTTGTACAAATCAAATGATGAAAGACATACTTGCAAAGGATAATATGATGCAAATATTATCATTCCTAAAAGTGCCCAAGAGCCTAATACATGATATATATAAAAAAATCCAAATATTGAAATGATTGGGCCACCAATTGCCATCGGTCCAAATACTATCATGTAATATAATCTTGGTCCATCGAAACTAAATAAATTAATTATCTGAAATTGATTTGAACATTTAAAAAAAAACAAATTCAAATTTGATTTGTCTCTTAATTTGTTTGTAATTTTTAATATCCTACCTCTCCAGCTGACATATTTCTATTAGAATTAAGCCTTAATACTTTTCTATATATCATTGTCAAACAAGCAGATCTTAATCGAACAGCTGTTCTGTAACTTAAACTGTAGTAAAGAGCGAAAAACATTGTTCTTAATATTTCAGCGCTTGTTAATGCCAAAGCCCACATCAAACCATTTGTTAATCCTTCTTCCTCATCATCCAAATACTCCAATAATTTTCTCATAAATATCGTCTGAATTAATAAATAATTTAAATTTGCATTCGGTCAACATTGATGTGCAACACTTTATGACAAATCTGATGAAATTTTAGGGAAGTTTAAGGGAATGATTACTTACAGGACTTAAAAATCCCATAATGCAGCTAATAGAAAATGTTACACAACAAATTAAAACTCTTGTTCGAACAAATTTCCAAACAGCTTTCCCGAATGAAGCTTCGATTGGACCTTTTTCAGATAATTCATTTTGCCAAATTAATTCGAGTCTAAAAAAAAAAAAGGAATAATTGTTTGTTTAAAGTTTATAAAATAAGTTGAAAAAAAAGGTTTGAATTTGATTTCTTTTCTCTCTCTCTTACCTTTGAGCATTTAAATCACAAGAATCCAAAGGAGAGCCAAAAGGTATGTCGTCGATTGTTAAACCTTTTTTATAAGCTTTATAAACGAAATTTGACATCCATGAAAAAGTTAACAATGAGAAAAATCCAGAGTCATCAATTTTTAAAAAATTTTTATTTCTATAAAAATAATTAATATTTTATTATTATTATTATTATTTATTAAAATTAATGTTTAATTTAACATTTAAAAAAAAATATATATTTAAAACTTACTTTGATTTTTTTCTAAATGGTATCAAATGTTTTAATGCGTTTTTATACCTATTAAAACCTTTGATGGAAGTGTATTCGGAAATTATTGGCGCGAAATTTCGCGGATTTCGGTTAGAATAATTTTCAAAATCGTAAACGGTTTCACATAAATCAGATTCCATTTTTTTTTTTTTTCGATTGTGATAAAAAAATATATTACGACACATACAATTGTAATCCCCTATCTTGTTTACTTTTTATTTAAATTTTCATTCGCCTTTGACATGGCAAGTTGAAAAATTCTTATCTACACTTAGCGAAAGCTTCAATTCGATAACTCGAAAATAAAAAAAAAAAAAAAAAAAAAAAATTATCTTTTTCATTTCATAAATATTTATTTTTTAAATTATTATAAAACATTTGTAAAAATTTAAAGAGAAACGAATTTTTATAAATTAAATAAATAATTTAAAACAAAAATTAAAAAAACAAACAAACTTAAAAAAAATAATTAAAAAATAAAAAAAAAAAAAAATTAAAAAAACAGTAAAAAGTCACTTTAGTAGAATCATCTTCATTTCATCAAAGTGAGTAAATATTAAAAAATTAAGCAGTCACTTCTCTATTGACACTTTTTCATAGAGTAAACGTGGCAACATTGCACGTAGACTTTTGTAAACCGATCTCTATGAGAATTTAAATTTCCCTCCTTTACTTACGCTCGCTATCCAATGTATCGATCATCATATAAAGTTATGGAAAATGAAATTTTTTTTTTTTTTCCGTTTTCCTTTTTTAATATAATATCATTCCAATCGATATTTAATTAATAAAATAAATTAATAAAAATAAATTTGTTTATAATAAATAAAAAACCATGTAATTATACGAAAATAATTGAAAATTTATTTAAGTTTTTATAATTGTAAACAAACGTCGGCCATTTTGTTTCTTATATTTGAAACACATTATAATACATAACAACAAAAAATGTTTTTTATAACGTTGCATATAACTTTTAAATTGTAAAAAAGAATAAAAGAAATAAAATAAAAGTTTTATACATCGGACGATATCTTTTTTTAAAAAAAAAAAAAAGGAATGTTAAGTAAAATGACATTTTAACAAAAGGAATTAGATACGTTGTCTGAGTATGTGTGTGTGTGTGTGTGTGTAAGGTGTTGTTCAAAAGATATTTTTCCGGAATAATAATAAAAAAGAAAGAAACAGGTGAGGGTTATGCCAACCTGTTATAAAAAAAAATAAAAAATTCAATATGAGATGAGAATAAAGATCAGACGGAGACAGGTGTTGTGTCTGCATCTAGCTGTGAAACCAGGGCCGGCGCCATTAAGTCCCCTTTCCTCTTCTTCTTCTCATTCTTCTTCCCTCCGGGGGGTTCTTCAATCATTTTTTTCTTTTTTCTATGGCAGGTGAATACTTTTTATATATCCACCCGCACCTCTTTAAGTACAAGAAAGAGAGAGAGAGAGATAAAGAAATATGCAACGGATACATTCTGTCGAGATTTCTTTCTCATAAAACACAATAATAATAATAATAATAATAATATGTTTAAATTAACACTATTCAATATAGAATCGATACCAAACCTTATATAATTCCATAGAGATAAAAACAATCAATTCCGTCATCTTCCCTTCTTGGTTACTTTTCATCATCGATTCGTAAAAGAAGCAGAAGAAAAAAAAAACATTTTAATAATCGTTAGCGAAATTTTTCTCATTTAAAAAAAAAAAAAAATATTTTTTAAAGGATTAATAATAATAATAATAATAATAAAGACAAGACACCTGGCGCCGATTTACCACCTTCTTCTTCTTCCACGTTCGTTCGTATGAAAACATCGTCCATTAAAAAATTTTTTTAAAAATAACATCGTCGTCGTCGTCGTCGTCGTCGTCATTGTCGTCTGCTACAAATCATTTAAAACAATTAAACTTGAATGAAATTGACGTGAAAAAAAAAAAAAAAAAAACGAGTGAGAGACATTTTAATCTTTTTTTTCTTTCCTTTTTGTCTTCTTTTTCCTTTCTTTCCTTTTTTCCTTTTATCATTATTATCATTATTTTAAAACATTTTTCATTTTTAACAACTTGAAAGAATTAAAGCAAAAGGAAAAAAACCACTTAAGTATTATTATTATTAAGTTATTTTTCCCCCCCCTCGCCGTTATGACGTCACGTAATTGATTTTTCATTCAGAAATTTTTTTTTTTTCTTCGAATGAATGAATGACTATTCCATTATTATCATTATTAATAACAATTCGTTCGTTTGCAATTATTTAAACGTTTAATAAGAAAATAAAAAATTAAATAATTCCATTAATAAATAAGTATGGAGAAAAATATATAACCGTTTGTAAACGCGTATTTAAGTCATAGAGAATTTAAACGCGTTTGTAATGTTAAGCATATGTTAATGTTTTTTTTTTTTTTTTACCATCATTTGCGACATCTGCTTTCAATTTGTCAATAACAACAACCATTGTCTTTTTTATATATATATTGGCTTTAACTAAGCGTCGTTTCGTTTCATAAATCATTTTTTATTTTATTTTAAATAAAATAAAAGAAGGAAGAAAAAAAAAAAAGGAAGAGAAAGAAAAGAAAAGAGAAAAAAAAAAGAAATATGGTGTCGGAACGCACTAAATGCCACCATCGGAATTTTTTTTTTTTTATTTTCTTTCCTTTCCTTTTGTTTGTTTAATTAATCCGACGGCTTTTTAATTATTATTATTATTATTATTTAATAAATCACTCGTCTGGTTTTTTTTTATATATTTAGATTCTATTGGGTAATCGAATCACGTGACGTGTGAAAATTTTAATAAATAATAATAATAAATGTAACACGTTAAACATTTTAAAAAAAATTAATGTAAAATTACGTATGTGACGTCATTCAGTTAGTTAACACGTGATTCGCGGTATTGTTTATTCGCGATCGATTCGATTTGACAAGGCGGTGCAATTTTCTATTTACACTTTTATTTATTCGATTATAAATGTTATTGTTGTTGTTATTGATTGTTGTCGTTAATGGCGACGGCTGATGATGATGAAGAAACAAAACAAAAAAAAAAAAAATGGCGTAAAATTTAAAAAAAAAATTATATTTTCGATAATAAATAATATTTATTTAACGTAATAAAATTATTTTATCGCAGATAAAAAGCTATTATTTTTAATAATAATAATAATAAAACTATTACATTTTAATGCGGTAATTATTGTCATCGTTTTTAACGAACGGTTAACGATTTTTTTTTTTTTTCGGTGGGATTTCCGTCGTAAAAAAAAATGGCGGGGGGAGGGGGAGGGGGGAACTTCCGGAACTTCGAAACCGTTGAAACCGAAATTAAATATATTTTAAAAAAAAAAAAAAAATTTGAGACTCATGTTTAACATACCGAAATGATTTTTTGAGATCAGTTATTGCCGTTGCCGTTGTTAAAATTTTCTATTGACACGACGAATTGTATACGACTCTCCCTTTTTTTTAATCTTCTCTTTTTTTTCTTATTTTACCCTCCGTTTGTATCGTTTTCGACACGTTGTCCACGCAATCGGATAAATCGGGTTCGGATTGATTTTTACTGTAATCGTATCCCGCGAGCCTCGATAGGGTCATTATGTAAGAACACGCGATTCTCAATACGGATAATTTCGATAGTTTTTGATTGTGCGAATATGCGGGTATTGAATGTCGGAGCGTGTCGAACGCGGCGCTTATCGTGTGAACTCTCGTTCTTTCTCTCGCGTTCGCTTCGATTCTTCTTTCTCTCGTCATGTTTTTATAATTTCTTTGATGTCCACCACCTAAGGTTCCTCTTTCTTGACTAGATGATTTCGATGTGGATGCGATCGACGATGACGTTCCCTCTGGTCTCGACGAAGGCGACGACGACGACGACGACGACAACAAACTGTCTATTCTAAATTTGTTATCACTCTGATTGCAATTCCCGCTCACGTTCGCGACATCTTCCATTTTCGTTTTCACATCCGTTTTTGTCTTTTTATCTCCACCCCCCTTTTTCCCGTTTGTTAATTTGTTCACTCTGTTTATTAGGTAACTTTTACGTTCCGTCGATTCCCATTCCGTCGCGTTCGTTTCGTCGGCTTTTTGTGATCCGACGTTCCACGCGAGGTTCGAGGATTTCGACGAAGGCACCGACGACAATCGCACGTCCGGCGAATAATTTTTATTTTTAAAACTAAATTTTATTGGCACTTTAACATTATTGTTTTCTTCTTTTCTTTTCGACACCAACGATAAAGGTTCGTCCTGGTGAATCGTCGTCGTCGTCGTCGTCGACGCCGACAATTCCGATAAATTAATTGGCACTAATCTTTCATTAACAGGTTGGCAACAACCACCGACGGGTACCGAAGAGTCCGATTCGGTTAATCTCGACAATGGAATCACGTTTAGTACATTTTTGTCACCGTTTCCGGTATTTGAATTTTTAGTCCTAACCGACGCGTCACTTTTTAAATTTATGCGATTTACGGAAGTTTCCATTCTTTGCTGCGATTGTGACGGCGATGATTGAGGACTGGTACTCCAAGGACGAAAAGGACTCGAATTTGAGGGTTCGCGAACGTCATCATCATCATCATCATCTCTCGTCAATGTTAAATCTTTCATTTTTCTCTTTTTCGCCGGAAGTTCCGAATCCAATTTCCTCGGTTCGGCGCATTTTCTTTTATTACGATTTCTAAACGAAATGGCTTGAACTTTAACATCGACGCTGTCTTCGCTCGCATCCGTCGGCGAATGTATATCATCTTCTCCATCCACGTCATCCTCATCTCCTCCCGAACAAAATCCTGCATCTCTTTCCAGTACGTCCGCCATTTTTATACGATCGATCTGAAATTAATAATAACAAAATGTTAAAAAAAAAAAAAAAGAGAGAAAGAGAGAGAGAGAGAACCGCAAATCGTGACTCAAAGTTTTTTCGACAATGAGGACAATATAAACCGAATAAAATCAGTTTACGTTAAATTTAATTAGTTCGATCAATTTAATAGAGATTTGAGGCCGACATGACACGTTTACTTGTACAAAACCGTTCGAATTGTTCGAACGGATCCGAATATCACCGCAATCGTCTATGAAGTCACGTTTTGTCGCGTGTTGGTGATTGTTGTGATTCTTTCGAAATTTCATAGCCAACCTTTCGAGAGAGAGAGAGAGAGAGAGAAACAACATTCTTCTTTTTTTCCCTTATAGTATAATGTCACATCTACGAAAAGTTTCTAACGGTCATCGAACAAGAAAAAAAAAAGGGAAAAAAAATTTACAACAATCAAATTCCTTTCTCTTAAAACTCCCCCTTCCACCATTCGACATCAGTCGTTATCTCGTCGCGATCAAAAGTAAAAAATCGGTGTTGCCAAATTTAATATCAACAATTAAACTAAATGATTATGAACAAAAAAAAAAAAAATCGTAGGATGAATAATAATAATAATAATAAAAAGTAAGCAACAATCGTCGTTTAAAATGCAACGAGAGCGATAAAGAAAGACATAGATAGAGAGAGAGGGGAAGAGTGTGTGTGAGAGTGAGAGAGATATAAAGGGAAGGGGTACGTAAAGAAATTTGATTAAATCTAAATTTAGATTTTTCGTTCAAACTCTCCAACATGGCCGTGAACAAAAATTTACACGTAAACAATTGTTTTACGCTTGATAAATACTACATTTGTCTCGGAAGAAGAAAAAAAAAAAAAAAAAAAAAAAACTATTTTTATCGTTAATTACACACAAACAAGTCATAACGTGAATCGGATTATATTTTAATCATTTATTTATAGATTATTAATTTTAAAAATTTCCGACGACCGTCCATTTTTTTTTTTTTTTTTTTAAATCGAACGGATTCATTGTCATCGGGGGGGGGAGAGAGGAGAGGGAAACAAAAAAACGTTCGGGATTGCAAATTAACGACGGCGATTCAAGACGGCGGTGACCCCATTCCATCGCGCATCTGGCATCTTTTATTATTATTATTATTATTATTATTATTATTAAATTTGCTCCACTGCTACGTATACGACAAAAAAAACAACAAAAACGGCGACGATTTTTTTTTTTTTTTTAACAATGAATATTTAATTGGTGTGAAAAACAATAAAAAAAATAACAACAATAGACGAAAACACGTTTTCGCCAGTCGCCCACATTTCAATATCATTATTATTATTATTATTATCATTATTATTTACGACGGATTATGATTCTGATCACATTAAAAAAAAAAAAACAAATGATTTTCCAGTCGAATTTTCATCATCATTATCATCATCATTAGAAATTAATAAATTTTTTTTTCACTCGCGCCAAAACGACAGCAAAACATTTATTATTATTATTATTATTATTATTATTATTATTATTATTATTATTATTATTATTATTATTATTATTATTACTTTATTTGTTCACTTAATTTAACTTTTAATTTTAAAAAAAAAAAAAAATTAACGTCATTAACGAACGATGATAATGATAATTACACGAACAACAACAACAACAATTAAAATACATTTACAACTTACGAGAGATTAAAAAAAAAAAAGTGTTTATTTTCTCTATGACTTTTTTTTTTTTTCTTAAAACATTTTTCTAAGAAACCCCTCCCTCCCCCGGGCTTATTACACGGCAAATGAATTTTAAATACTTTTTGATTAAACGACAAAAAAATTTTAATTGGGTGAAAAAAAAAATTAGCAAGGTTATCGTTTTCGGCTTCAGCAACAGCAACAGCAGCAGCAGGGGCAACAGCAACAACAACAACAACAAACAACAATAAAAATTTTAAATTCACCATTAAAAAATTTCCCAACAGCCAAAAAAAAAAAAAAAAAAAAACCTTCAACACCTGACTTTTCTTGTTTTTCATCTTTCACCTCCGACAACTGGCAAATAATACTAAAAAAATTGATTTGGGGTCCTTCCAAAAATTACATTTGTCTCTTTTCATTACCGCCATTTTTTTTCTCTCCTTCTTCTTCTTCTTCTTCTCAATACGAAACCTTTCCCCCCTCTTCCCCCGAAAGTGAAAAAAGAAAAAAAATCGGGAATCTACCCCTTTCCTTTTTCTTTACTATCATCGCTTCTCGAGCCGTAAAATGTAACACACGATGATGATTAATATTATTATTATTATTATTAGTGACTCAGGTACGTAGTAAAGAACGACGACGATAATAAAAATAAAAAAAATCGGCGACCTTCCTTCCTTTTCTATCCGAGAGAAAAAATCGCGGGTGGGCAGTTGAATAAAGAAAAAGAAAAGAAAAAAAAGGTGTAGGGATAGAGAGAGAGAGAGAGAGAGACAGTAAGTAATAGAGAACAAATAGAAAAAAAAAACTATATAAGAAAGAAAGAGAGAGAGAGAGAGAGAGAGAGAGAGAGAGTAAAGGAGGAGGAGGAAGAAGGATAAGAAGAAAAAAAGGTGAGAAATCAAAGAATACCTGATATATACCTTGTGTCATAAAGCAAACCAGATTTGAATGAATTCTTCTTATTGTGGAATTTATTTGAGTGGCGCCACAACTAAAACCACGTAGAAAAAAAATTTTTTTTTTTTTCTTTTTCTCGATAGATCTTTTTACCAAATAGAAATCTCAGGTTCGTTTTTTTTTTTTTTTTTTTTTTTTTTTGTTTTTTTAAGGCGCGGTTGCAAAAGTTGAACGCGTATGTGACGCGGGCGCGTTTTGCGAGAAAAAGGCATTTTATCGCGAAAGTAAAATTAAAATAAACGAACGAACGCCTCCTTAAAGTGTTTTTTCCACGCACGCACGCACGCACGCAAAAAAATCCGACGGAATTTTTTTTTGCACCCAAAATATTTATTTATTTGCCAAATCGTAAATAAAACGAAACAAACAAACACGCACACGCACACGCACACGCGGAATTTTAAATTATTATTATTATTATTATTATTATTATTAATACTTTTAAGGTACATTGTTTGCACTTTGTTAATAATAATAATAATAAAAGTCATTATTTATTGGGCGTGTGTCTTGTGCGTGCGTGCGAGTGTGATTTTAACGTGCGAGCAGACGACGTCGTTCTTCGTCGTTATTCGCTTTTTATTATTATTATTATTATTATTAATCATTATCGTTAATTTTTTTTTTTTTTTATTTTGGCGCCGTCTGGTACCTTATTAAAATTTTTCGCCCTTTTAATATAAAGTTTAAGCCTTTTATTTGTAGGAGAGAAGGGGAAAAGGGAAAGGCGGGGGAAATTCAAATATGGCCGCCGCCATTTTCGCATGTTTTTCATTTCGCGAGTACTCTCCCCGTATGACGTCACATTTTTCTTTTCTTTTTCAGACATTATTTTCACCGACTGAAAGTTTTTTTTTTTTTTTTTTTTTTTTTTTTGAAAACGAATCTGTATCCATTTTTTTTCAATGTTAATATTAATAATAATAATAATAATAATAATAATAATAATAATAATAATAATAATAATAATAATAATAATAATAATAATAATAATAATAATAATAATAATAATAATAATAATAATAATAATAATAATAATAATAATAATAATAATAATAATAATAATAATAATAATAATAATAATAATAATAATAATAATAATAATAATAATAATAATAATAATAATAATAATAATAATAATAATAATAATAATAATAATAATAATAATAATAATAATAATAATAATAATAATAATAATAATAATAATAATAATAATAATAATAATAATAATAATAATAATAATAATAATAATAATAATAATAATAATAATAATAATAATAATAATAATAATAATAATAATAATAATAATAATAATAATAATAATAATAATAATAATAATAATAATAATAATAATAATAATAATAATAATAATAATAATAATAATAATAATAATAATAATAATAATAATAATAATAATAATAATAATAATAATAATAATAATAATAATAATAATAATAATAATAATAATAATAATAATAATAATAATAATAATAATAATAATAATAATAATAATAATAATAATAATAATAATAATAATAATAATAATAATAATAATAATAATAATAATAATAATAATAATAATAATAATAATAATAATAATAATAATAATAATAATAATAATAATAATAATAATAATAATAATAATAATAATAATAATAATAATAATAATAATAATAATAATAATAATAACAACAACAACAACAACAACAACAACAACAACAACAACAACAACAACAACAACAACAACAACAACAACAACAACAACAACAACAACAACAACAACAACAACAACAACAACAACAACAACAACAACAACAACAACAACAACAACAACAACAACAACAACAACAACAACAACAACAACAACAACAACAACAACAACAACAACAACAACAACAACAACAACAACAATAATAATAATAATAATAAATCCAATATTAATTCGATTCACGGTTCGACTTATAAAAAGAATTTTTCAATCCTGGATCGAATTCCAATCAAAAAAAAATTTTTTTTTTTTTTACTTTATTTTATATATTTATGTGAAAAATTTTTAGCCTCCCGTACACTCTCACGTCACACAAAACAACAACAAACCCCCCCCACCACCACCATTATTTTACGTAATAATAATAATGATAATAATTGAAAAGTTTTCTCTTTTTCACGCTTTCTTTACTTTTAATTTTTTCTTCGCAAAAGGTTTTTCAAAGTTTTCCTTTCTTAACTACGATTAACACAAAAAAAAAAAAAAAAAAATTATGCAATTAATCGAATAGAAAACCAAACAAACAAACAAACAAACAAACGGACAAAACAAACGGTA